ATATTTAATTTCTGCCAGAAGGTCTTTTCAGTTTTCCCAGAAGTTTTTGTCAGATAGTGAGTCCTTACCCCAGTAGATGGAATCTTTAGATTGAAAAAGTATTATCTCCCTATCTTTTCCTTTTTGGTTTTGTTGGTAACATACAGGAATGCTAATGGTTTATGTGAATTCATTTTGTGTTCAACTTTGCTGTTATTGTTTCAATTAATTTTTAAAGGTTCTTCATGTCATATCATTTATAAAAAGTCATAATTTTTTTCTTTGCCTATATTTATTCCCTTAATTTCTATTTCTTGACTTATGGCTATAGTGTATTTCTAGTACTGTTCAAATAGTAGTAGTGAAAATGACCATCCTTGCTTTACTCTAGATCTTATTGGAAACATCTTGTAATTTTTTTGACATTTTAAAAAATATCCTTAGGGGCAGCTAGGTGGCACAATGGATACAGCTCCTGCTTTGGAGTCGAAAGGACCTGAGTTCATATCCAACCTCAGACCAGACACTTGACACTCACTAGCTGTGTGACCATAGGCAAGTCACTTAACCCCAATTGCCTCACCCCCCAAAACAATCCTTATTATTATTCTCTGTTCCCTCCCAAAATTATGAAACCCATATATTTTGGGGTTGGAATAACAAGAAAAACTTTTCAGACAACTTACAGCATGTCTGGTTGGTCATGGATTGATCCATAATGGCAGTAAACAAACTACAATATAAATGTGAAAATATTATTATATCACAGTGATACAGTAAAGCAGAACTATGAGCAAGTGAGATAACAAATAAAAATGGAAGTAAGTATGCCTATGGGGACCAGCATGATATTAATAGCATTCTGAGTGTACACCATAGTGGCACTGAATCATTTCTAATTCTCTAATTAGCATTATTCAATAATAGTCTTTCATATGTAAATTCAACCTAGGATGCAGTAGATTTAGTACAATGGAGAAAAATGCCCATGGGAACTAGACAAAAAATTAATGCAGAACAAAAATAAAAGGAAACCTAAAATAGAAACAAGATTTTTGAAAATTTGGCTACATGTAAAATTTCAGTGAGAAGGGAGCAAAGTCTTTAAATTACTTATCAAAATTATACAATTCAACAACCAGTAATTTTTCCTAAAATAGCAGGAAAGTTGAACTAGATAAAATTTGGAACTCGGCATCACAGAAAAATTGAAATGATATTGAGGGAAATTAGTATTATACTAGTATTAATAACTAATTATTAATTTATAATCCATCCTTTCCCTACTATTTCTGTTAAGACTCAACTCTTGAAAAGGTTGGACAGTTTTAGAAGTGTATTGACAGTGGGGTGATTTTTTCCTATCCCCAAGGCCTCTATCTGGGCATAATATTAGCCATTTTTGTTCTGTACTTTCCTGGCCTCAGGAGCAACATATCAACATGATACCCCCATACCACTGCTAGAAATGGGAACTTATGTGGGAATCATTTTTTGCATTTTCTTCATGTTTTTTTCTCCATTTCCCAGTGTTACTGTTGTAAACATTAGATATTTTGTTTTATATTGTAGCAAATAAAACCTGAAAGACGGTTTCTATATAATCTCTTGGGTATGTACTGTATGATTATTAATTAGGCTAGCTAATAATAATAAATTGAAACCACTGACCATCCTTATGGGGGTGTCACACCCAAGAGAAATTAGATAATACCTACTTCCTCTTGATGAGTTCTAGTCGTCTGATCCAGACACACTATATCCTGAGGTACTGAAAAACTGTTGAATATGATTGCTTAGTCTTTTTGGAATATAGACCTAGTAATGATATTGCTAAGTCAAAGAGTGTGCACAGTTTGATTACCCTTTGAACATAGTTCCAAATTGCTCTCCAGAATGGTTGGATCAGTTCACAACTCTACCAACAATGCATTAGTGTCCTCATTTTCCCATATCCTCTCCAGCATTCATCATTTACCTTTTCTGTCATATTATCCAGTTGAGGTGGTACCTCAGAGTTGTTTCAACTTGTATTTTTCTAATCGATAGTGATTTAGACCATTTTTTTTCATTTGACTACAAATAGCTTTGATTTCTTTATCTGAAAACTACCTGTTCATATCCTTTGACCATTTATCAATTGGGGGATGACTTGTATTCTTATAAATTTGACTCAGTATTCTATATATTTGAAAAGTAAGGCATTTATCAGAAACACTGGCTGTAAAAATTATTTCCCAGCTTTCTGCTTTTCTTCTAATTTCACTTGAATTAGTCTTATTTGTGCAAAAAGTTTTAAATTTAATATAATCCAAATTATCCATTTTATGTCTCATGATACTTTCTATCTCTTGTTTGGTAATAAATTCTTCCTTTCTCCATAGATTTAACAGGCAAACTATACCATGCTCTCCTAATTTGCTTATGGTATCACCCTTTATGTCTAACTTGTGTCCCCATTTTGACCTTCTCTTAGTATACAGTATAAGATGTTGGTTTATATGTAGTTTCTGCCATACTGTTTTCCAATTTTCCTAGTAGTTGTTGTCAGATAATGAGATTTTGTCCCACAAGCTGGTATCTTTGGGTTTATCAGGCACTAAATTACTATGGCTGTTTACTACTATGTCTCAGGTACCTAATCCATTCCATGGTTCTACCACTCTATTTCTTATCCAGTACCAGATAGTTTTGGTGATTGCCACTTTATAATATAATTTGAGATCTGGTATGGATAGGCCACCTTCTTTTGCATTTTTTTCATTAATTTCCTTGATAGTATCTATATTTTCAAAAAAGAGAAGAAAATAGATTCTTCAAATTATAGGTCAGTAAGTTTGACTTCAATTCCTGTTTATCTGCAGACTATGCTGCCTCCATTTTGGCTATCATTTCTACCTCCTTACAGGAACTTTTGGATTCCACCAAAGTGGAGTCTGATAAATGAGCTTTCACCCTAACTTGCCTGGAATCAGGGTGGCTTCCTAGCCATTTCTACACTATTCTGCTGAGTGTATACCCCCTACCCTTCCGGCTTCCCTTTATTTGTTGCCTTTCCTCCATTAGACTTTAAGTTCCTTGAGGGCAAGGACTATTTTGCTTATTTATTCCTCCCTAGTGCTTAGCACAGTGCCTGGCATATAGTAAGCATTCTCTCTGTCACTGTCTCTGTGTGTGTGTGTGTGTGTGTGTGTGTGTGTGTGTGTGTGTGTGTGTGTGTGTGTGTCTGTCTGCCTAAATTAGGGTGGTGTCCATTACAGTGGGCAGAAGGGGATGAATGGGAAAAATGTGTAGTTAAGATTAACAAGAATGGGCAAGTATCTGGAGAAGACCAATCCGAGTGGTCTGGGTAGAAATGGATTCCTTTGTCCGGATTGCTGGAGGCAGCTGAGTTTCCTTCTGCCACTTCTTAGCCAGAGGAGCTGAGTAATTTTCCTGAAACACAAATCTGACCGTGTCACTCCTGTTCAGTGAATTCTCTTTGTCCTCTAGGATTTGTACGTATAAACTTTTCTTTTTGTCATTTAAAGCCATTCATAACCTTGTTCCATAGAGTCTCTGGACTCTATGATCCAACCAAAATTGGCCCTCTCTGTTTCTAACACATCTTACTGTTGAAGTTTAGATGTTTAGGGGTACTGGGAATCCAAAGTAGCAACATGCTGGTCCTGCCCGAATGAATTGGACCCAAGCAAGACAAGTTTTATTGGAACATTGATTGGGGCGACTGAGATTTCTAGTGAGTTCTAGCTATTGGCTAGATTTTAAGAATCTGAGCACCTAAACGGAGGCCAAGGTGGATCTTATATACAGATAGATTGTGGGAGGGATCTAGGAGTGGCCAAGTAGGTGAGGTGACTGTGAGGTAACAGAAAAACTGCAAAGCCAGGAACCTGGACCACGTGGCCGAGGGAGACTGGAAGCTAGATAGAATTTAAGGGTGGGAATTGGCTGGGGCGGAGGTAATTGGACTGAATTAGGAGATTGGGCATAGCCACAATGAAAGGCCAGTGGAGAAAATTACTGGGATGATGCCTCAGGCGAATGCCAGAGACTTGACCATGTGGGAAAAGGAGAAAACTCCAGGAGAATTGGGGGGAAGGGGGGTGCAGGGTGTTCCCAGGGTGGTATCCCATCTCCTTATCTTTGCAGTGCCCATCCCTATTCCTGTAATGTAACTTCTCCTTATTTCAGCTTATATGAGTAGATACCCTCTTTTCCTTTAAGAAGCAGCTTAAGCTTCTTAAGCTTAAGCACTGGCTTCTACCCAAAGCATTTATTCATTCATTGTTCCCTCTGTCTCTAGTGTCTTATCTCCATAGCTACCATCTATTTATTTTGTAATCTCTCTCTCTCTCTGTGTCTCTGTCTCTCTGTCTCTCTCTGTGTCTCTGTCTCTCTGTCTGTCTCTCTCTCTCTCTCTCTCTCTCTCTCTCTCTCTCTCTCTCGTGCATTGAGTAGTAAGTTTTGATTGACCAATTGATTGTTGTCCTTTTCAGGAACATGCTATATAAAGTAGACGTAAATCTATGTATTTGTTTTTCATTTGAGTTCTTATGTAAATGGTTTTCATGTATTGTTTTCTGAGATTATGACTCACTGGATCCTGTAGGCCCTGGAATGTGTAGTACTCTTCTCACAAACATCATTGCTAAAGTGAAGCAGGAGAGCCTTTTACTAGGCAAAAAGGATACTGAAAATCCAAGTATTAAATTAGGTCTTGCCCATGTGTATCATGGCAGCAGTTTTACTCTGCCTGAAGACTGGTAAACCTCTGTTTCTATTTTGGGTCTTTTGTATTAGTATGCTCTATTCTATCATCTGACTTATAAATTCTAAACCATATTTCCATGGCATCTGTTTATGGGGTTTGTGTATGTTAAAACAAAATCCTAAGCTTTGAGGTAGGTATGTAGTCATGAAGTATATCCTAATTTTTATCATTTCCTTTATTTTTAGGCATGTTCCAGACTTCAAGACATCTTTTTATGTCTCTAAATTTTGTTCTGTTTCTATTGCAGGTTTTGGGGTTCGAAATTGACACAGTGAATTCTGTCCAATTTTCAAATCATACAGGTAAATTTACTTTATTTGGAAATGGGCTTCAAAAAAATATCCCACATTGGTTACATCTATAGTAACTTTTATTAAGTGACAAGTACCTAGGGCATTGAGAAGTTAAGTGACTTGCCCACAGTCACACTGACTTAAAGTGTCACAGGTAGGACATGAACTCAGGTCTTCTTGAATTTGCAACCATCTCTCTGCCCATTACACTACACTGCCACTCTTAAAATATGTTATTTTTATTTTCATTTAAATTGTATTGTTTTGTTGTATGGAAGGAGGGACAATGATGATATCAGAATCACAAGTACTTAAGAGCTCTCAAATTGTTTTAAAGGGATTATCCCTGAAGAACCAGATTTTGGATTTTGATTACGGGTGGTCCCATAATCATCATTCCTGGTGATGCCATTTGTCTTCGAGTTAAAACAATTTATGTTGAGATTTCTGCTCTATGACTTTGGTTATGGATGCACTAAAGGCTGGCAGTAATTTGTAGATTTGTAATATGGCACATATGTAAAATTGAAAGACACGATCAGGTATTTTGTAAGTCCAAATTACTTTGAACCAAGAGCAAAGTGACACAGGAAAGTGCAGACTGTTCCTGAAACCAGAGACAAGTGAACTCCCATGTAGGCAGGATAAAAGAGTATTTTTAAGCCTGGTGTAGTACTACATAGTTAAATCCCGGGGTGGTGCTTTTTATTGGAAGACTTAGGAAGCAGTGTGTGATAATAATTAACTTTATAAATAGAGCTACCTGTACAAAAATACTTGTTGTTATGTAGCTGGTTGTTATTTAGCTAGAATAAGAGTATAATTGAAAAGAAACTTGCTTTGTTTAATATGGAGTAATTTTTATGTTTATTTTCTTTTTGCCTTTCTTTGACTTTTGGAATTTCACCTAAAATGAACACATTTTGTAAATGGAAGGGACCATAGAGATTAGTTAATAAATCAACAAACATTTTTTAAAAAATATTTACTATGTGCTGGTCGTTGTGCTAGGCGTTAGAGATACAAATATATATACATGGAATATATATACATATATACACAAATATATCTATATGCAAAATATGTATATACAAAATAGAGATTCAAATATATATATATACAAAAAATAAAAAAATCTCTGCTGTCAAAGAGCTTAATTCTAATGTAAGAGACAACAAAAACATTTGTAAGTACGTAAAACATAAATAAAAATATATACAAAGCAGCTAAATATGAAATCGTTTGGGAGGGAGGGCACTGGCAGTTGTAGGCTATCATGGTAATCTAGGTGAGGAGTGATAAGAACCTAATGAGAAACAGTTGAGTTGAGAGAAGCGATCTGATGTGACAGTTGCTGTATAGGTAGAAATAATGTCTGGCAAATGACTGGGTAGATGGGTTGAGGGAATAAGCATCAGAAGCAGACTTTGAACCCAGATCCTCTGACTGCAGAAGCAGTGCTATACATTTCCTCAATTTATTTTCTATAGTTTTGGGAAACACTAATCTTTTGTAGCAGCATTGTGGCCTTTTGAGTAAAAGGGCTGGCCTTAGGGCCAGGAAGTTACGAGGTTCAAGTCTTACCATTGACATGTACTGACTGCAGTTTGCAGACCAGACACCACCTTTACTGGTAGAGAGCTGGAGTTTCCTTATTTGGAAGGAAATCTGGGAAATCGCAAGTCCAATTCTTATCCCTTCCCCTAATGTTTTATATGTATGTGGTTGTATCTCTGATATCTGCTATTGAGTACCATAATGCTTTTTCTGCATTTTTTTATGTAGTGCTAGATAGTTTTGATGATAACCACTTCACAATATGATTTAAAGCCTGACAGTGCAAAACTTCCTTCAGCAGCCCTTTACATTCTTTCCTGTTTGTTTTTTCCATGTAAATTTCAGTATGATTTTATCCAGCTTTATGAAGAGAGATCCCTTTGGGGGGGGCATATTGTCATTTTCTTATAGTAAATGATCTTTCCATGAGCACTAAATGTCCCTCCAGGTAGAACCTCCTTTCAGAAGAACTGAAGTAATGTCCACTGTTTTCTGTGACACTTTACTCTCAGGTTCCCTCACTTCTGACCATTTGTTAAGAGCAGACCTGATTTAGGTTGTCACTCTATCAGTTCAGGCTTAATATCAGAACAAAATGAGATACTCATGGGTCTTTGAGCAGTTAAGAGAACAAAGTTTACTTAGCCCTGACGTAGAAAGGTATACAATAAGGATGCTCCAGAACTTAGCTTGGATACACATATCCCCTGCCCCTTTTCTCCACAGAGAAATGTGTCTGGTCAGCAGGGTTGGATGTAGTGACTCCAGTGGTTTCAGGGCATTCACCGAGTCTGAAGGACCCCAGCCCCATGAAGATGGGTCTTTTTATGTTGATGACCAGGAAGCCATGCCCAGGAGGGAACAGCTTGAGCCTTGGCCCATTCCTTGAGCCAATCGTGACCACCTTTGTTGACTTTTTGTGAAAAAACTAGCTTTATCCATGTGAGAGAGTAGCGGGGAACCTTTGTTGATATTGGTCCTATTACTTACATCCCGTAATGGCAAATCTTAAGGATCTTCTAGAGGACCTTCTCCCATATAAATGCTTTTAGGGCTTTTTATTAAACAGTGCTCCTGGCATAGGCAGTACTAAGGGGAAAAAGAAAAATGAGAAGAAAAAATTTACAGCTCACTTTCCCTTCTCTCTGAAGGAGTCACCAGTAAAGGCAAAGAAAAGAAAAAATAGTGCAAAACAAAAGCTAAAAACTCTAGGCTTCTTCCCTTCCTTCCCCTCCCCCTACCTTCATTTGAAAGAACTAAATCTCAGATCTCTGTGGCAGGTCCATGCATTGAAAGGCACTAATCCTGCAGAGACCCAGGCAAGCATGATTTTGAATGAAGCATTTCTATTTAGCAATAGAAGCCTCCTGTACTCTGCCCATCTTGTATCACCCAACTCCTAAGAGGCAACTCTGGATGAAAAGGATGATTATGACCCCATGTTATTTGTTAAATAGCAAGTAGGACCAAGAAATAGGTGAACAACTGCTTTTTAAAAGAGGTAGTAGGGAGTTTTCCTTTTGGCAAACATGTATCTCTACAAGTCCAAGTCTCTTTCTGGCTACCCCTGCCAAATGCTTGCCAGCTTATTTTTTCTAGACAGAGAGTTCCAGCAACATGAGCCTTGTAATGGCCCAAGGGGGGAGATTGCTAAATAGCCTGCTTTTACATCTTCCACGGCTGGAGCATGTTCTGGACCCCATTTCAAAGAGGTGTGCCTGTGGGTGACTTGGTACATGGAAAACTAGGTTACTCGGGTTGGGAAAGAGGGTTCTCCAGAACTTGCATGTCTCCGGGTTTTCTTCTTAGATTATATCAGTAGCTTATTCCATAGTGTTCCTAGAATCCTCTGAATCCTGGAATTTACCCACTTATTGAATTCACCCAAACTTGACTGAGTAGACTAGACCCTGGATTTTCATAGGTGATTTCTTATTCCTTGTGCCTCTACCATCTGATCTAAGGATTCTGACACCATGGCTCACCTGGCTTCGTCAACATTTTGTCATCATTGTAGTGCTGTACATCAGTGCCCCCATGAAGAGATGACTCTTTCAGGTTTCCGGGCCCATTATAATGTGGCAGCATGAGGGAGAGATCAGGTAATCCTGGGAAAGGACAGTGAAAATATACTGAACTCATTCCCAGACAAAAGCAAACTTCTCCTGACATGTCTCAGACGAGGAAAAGTGAAAAAATGCATTGGTGAGGTCAGTAGCCATATACTACTCATCCCAGGCCTGGGCTCCTTGGTCTATAACATTAATGAAGTCAGATCAGCTATAGTAAAATGAAAGCTGTAGATCCCTATAATCTACTATAAGCTGCCAGGTGTCATCTACCTTGCAATTTCAAGGATTTCCATGTGACCCTACTCACATTAATCCACATAGAGGCTGCCAAAAGGACTTGCACAGATACTGATGACTCAGATCTCTTCCTTCTGTGATATGCCCTCTATAACCATTTTGGAATGATCCAAATGCGGTAGGGTTTAGGTGGAGCTGAAGGTTTGAGTTCTGAATTTCCCTATACTCCATGGACAGTAGTCATCAAGTGCTCTTTTATATCAGCCTGGTGTCCTCACCCTTTGATAGCAAGATAGTGGGCCTTGTACTTCCTTTCCACCTGCCTTCTCTCCCAGAGTGCACCAAGGCATAGCTGCAGCTCTCCTTATATATTTCTCTGATTTTCCCATTTTATCAACCCATAGCTGTACAGTTTTGCCTGGCAGGGAGATACATAGTTAAATTCTGAAGATGTTATCATTATGGTGAGACTCCACTCAGAAGATGAGATCTGATTCCCCTGAGGCTGGCTATTCAGAGGGTTCATGGTGAGCTGTGGGAAGGAGTGCAGTGGAGTAGAACAGATCTCATCTATGAAAACAGTTTTCTTTTTCTTTCTCCCTTGAAGATCCCTAAAGGGAATTTTTGTATTCTAGTGAAAATAGCTGCCATCTCAGCCACAGAAAAAGGGACGAAGGGCAGCCCCAAACGTAGCTGAATCTGTAAGAGTAAGTCTTTACTCCTGGGGAGACCTCGGCATTGGCTTCATTAAACCATACTCTCAGGAGCAATTATTGCTCTAGAGACTCATCAGATTTGTGTTTGAACTTCTCTTGTAACTTCCCCAGGTGAAAGCCCATCCAGTCTTTGCTCCTTCAGTGGAAAGAATCCCTTTCCTTCTTGGAGCGGTAACAGTATGTGCTTGGGGCTTTCTTGCCCTCTGTGAAAGTTATCTCTCTCTCTTACTTCTCTCATTCTCCTGTCTCCCTGTCTCTGATCTCTTTTGGGATGCAGCAAAACTTCTGGGTTGAAGACTACTTCCATTCCCAGGCCTTTGGGAGCTCTCTTCTCTTAAAACAATCACATCAAGCTCCATTAGTTACCTGTCAGCCTTCATAAAATGGAGCTTAAAGGCCCAGAGTGGTCTTTTATACTGAATATGCTGGGCCAGTTTACTTTCATTCTTATTTATAATGCTGGCAGGCAAACTTCTGCAGAATGTAGTCAACAACTAAGGAATGTTGGTCTCGGTGTTTTCTTTACTTTCCCGGCAGCCTCCTCCAGCATCTAGTCAGCTAATAATTACTTGTAAATGCTCTTCCCTCTTATCTCTGAAATTTCGAAAAAGATCCCCTACAACCTTCCATTTTTGCCCTTTAGGTGTTTGTTTCCATCTTCTCCTTGTCCTAACCTGCCCTGTGGAAATTATCTGAAACTTATCACGTGGAGATGAAAATGGTTACTGATAAGCTAAAAAGGAATTACTCTAGAAAAACCCAAGCTAAAGTAACCAATTTTGTGATTTTAGGATTTCACTAGAGGCACTGCCCATTCTTCAGGAAAATGATATCTAAATCAGCAGCTTAACTCATGTGTGCATTATGAGTTTTGTGTGTTTCAGTTTAGAATAAAGAAATAAAATTTTAAAAATATAATAAAAAGATGGTGGTTTGTAACCAGAATGCTATTTTAGGGAAGCAAGTATTGTTTTGATATTGATATTGGTCATGTCTATAATTGTAAGTAAAGTCTTCAATACTTTTATTTTTCTTTTAGGTTATCCATACTGGAAAGGTCAGGTGTTAAATTCAAATGAACTCCATGAGCTGTATGAAGGTCTTAAACTGAACAATGTAAATAAATATGACTATGTTCTCACAGGTAAGAAAATATAACCCTTCTCCTTTCCTCAAAAGGACTAGTTGCCTCTTAGTAGAGTGTTAGTATGTGTGATCAGGAGAGGAAGTAAATTTACCTGGTGATTTTCATCTTAGAGCTGTTTATGTTGTTTTTTATACTTCCTGGTAGGCAAAGAGATGAATGAACTCACAGCCCCTTGAGCATTACCATCTGCCTCCTGCCTACCCTCTGCCATCTTGCCCTTTTGCTATAGTTGTGTCAGATCTCTGGATCTTATCCTTACTATAACTTAACCCTCTGCATATAAGACAACTAAAAAGAACATTTCCATACACACAGCAGAACACAAAATTATAATTCTTTATGAAATTGTGAATCTCCATTTCATATCACTTGCATTAAAAAAAAAGTATCTAAGTTCAGCATGTACTTTCAAAATTAATCCTTCATTCTGTACTGTTCTCTTCTGTGTTTTTTTTTTTTTAAGAACTGGGTCTCCCCATCTTTCCCAGGCTGGAAGTATCTGCTGCATTTTTTCGACCTGGTCAAGTTTACCTATTTTTAGGTCCTGGTGGCCCTCCACTCTCAGGAGTGTGTCTGACTTAGTACAGTTACTCAGTTGACTTTAGCCCTCCTGTAGCTCCCAAGCTCACACAGTCCACCAGCTGTAACTTCTTTGTGCATTTTAAAAAAATTTTTAAATTGTTAAAAAATGTTTAAAAAAATCTTTTTTTTTGGCATCATTATTACTATCTCTGTGCCCCGTACTCCTGTCCCCAAGTAATCAAGAAAAATAAATGAGAAAAAAGTAAAGTCAACCAAAATGAATACACAAAATGACCATATCTAAAAATGTATATGTGCACTTAACAGTATAACAGTGTGCATTAACTCTCTGTCAGGAGGTGTGAGTATTACATTTCATCACGGAGGTCGTTCAAAGTGAAGTGTTTCAAAGTTCTTTTTCTTTATGGTATAGTTGTCCTTGTATAAATTATTCTCCTGGTTTTGCTGACTTCATTAGATGTCAATTCATATTATTTAAGATTCTCTAAAATAATCTTTTGTCATTGCTTATGACACAGTAATATCCCATTACATTCATATGCCACAGTTTGTTCAGCTGTTCCCCAATTGTCTAAGGTAACCTAAGGTACCCCCTTAGATTGTAGTTCTTTTCCACATGACTATTATTGCCCTGGGTATGTGAGCATGCATATGTGTGTGTGTGTGTGTGTGTGTGTGTGTGTGTGTGTTTTCCTTCAATCTTTGACTTTCAGATGAGTGAGATTCATCTGATGCCTGCTTCCCTGACCCCTTCCTCCATGTTTTCATATCCTTCTTACATACTCCATTTACAATACATCGCAAGTTAATCCTCCTTCCTTTCTATACTAATATAGTCTTCCTTTTACCCTTTCTTTTTTGCATCTTAAAAACCCAGATTATAAGCAATCAGACCCCAGTGCCTGTTTTTCTCATTTGCCTTCCTCAATACCCTCTGAAGACATTTTAAGTTTCTAAAGGTTGTTTCTTGTTTCTTCTCCCCTTTTAGAATGGTAGCAAGAAATCAACATATAGGTCTTTCCAGTTGCTCAAATAAATTTACCTTTCTAGGTTTCTCTGGATTCTTATATTTATTTTTCAAAGTTCTGGTCTTTTTATAAAGAATACATGAAAGTCTTCTATTCCATTAAAGGTTGTTTTTTTCCCCCTATAGATACAGTTAGCTTTGTAGGGTAAATTATTCTTGGTTGCAAGCCTATTTTATTGGAAAACTGTATTCCAAGACCACCTTCTTCCTAAGATGGCATCAGTTGGGTGGAGATGAGGTGGAATACCTTACCTTGATAATTAGGGCATATTGACTAAGTTTTTCTTTAGTAGGAGCAAAGTTCTTGCCCTGAATTAGGCAGTTCTGGAAAAGCTCAGTTTGCGTTTGAAAGTAGGCTGAAGATCCTATAGGACAAGTGGGTGCTTTGATTGTTATGAAGAGTCCTGTTGGAGAGAAATATTATCCTTAAGGGCTCATGTGACCCTATTACAACTTGGCATCATGGCCCTCATCAACTTTAGTTGATTGCTCATGAGGACAGAAGTCATATAATGTCTCTGACATACCTGCCAACCACTGTATATAGAAGGGTTCATTGGCATAATTCTTCCACTGGCCCTAACCCTAGATGGGAGAGCCTTTGATTGCTTAGTCCCATTCTCTCCAGACCTCTGATTAGTCTACCAGAACCGTATCATGTCCATTACCAACGAATCAGTGGAAATGAAGATCTTATCTAGCCCATCCCTCAAGGCCCTCTCACATGCCAGAAATGCAGTTCCTTAGCTCAGCACACTGGGAGGACTTGCCAAAATCCCCATCTCTCATATCCTATTAACAAATTAATGGACGCCAGAATCTAGGTGCTCATGACTCTCATACTACACATAATTTGGTGAACCACACAAAACACCATCTTAAGGAGCAGGGTCCTCATAGGTCAGGGCCTATTGGACTAGTCAAGGAGGCAGATTGAGACTCAAGGCATCAACATTTGGTAGAGTTGCAGCCTGTTTGTTAAGGATGCTAACACCTAAAAGACCTATGTAAGTGTGATTTTGAATGTACCATTTCCATTTAACAATAGAGGTCTTCTATTTCCTGTATATCTTATTAGAGGTACCGTCTTGTATTGCCCAACTTGTAATAGTCAGTTCTCTATGAAATGTAATTATTTGATCTTTCGTCATTCATTCAATTGCAGTTAGGGTTTTACTGAAGTCAGCTCAGGCTTGATACCAAAACTTGTTCTCCATGGAGTCAAAAATGCCTAGGGGAAGAGAATGCTGAATGGCCCACTTTAGGCCTTCCCAAGCTATAGCCTGTTCTAGGTTCCCACTCAAAAGAGGCAAACTGGCATGTGACTTGGCAATTGGGGCTTATCAAGATAGGGAATTTGGGTTTTTCATAACTCAAAGCATCCAGCAGATCTTTGGATTCCCCTTTTGAACTGTAGGAAAGTGAATGTCAGTAGTTTACTGTGGACTATGTCCAGAAGTGTTTGGGTTTTCCCCATCTACTGTATTTATTACTCAAAACTTGACAGAGTGGGTTGGATACTGGATTTTCTTAGGGTTGACTTCACACCCCCTTGTCCATTATATGGGCTACCATGCAATCCAAGGTCTTTGTCACTGTGGCCTTCTCTAAGCTAGTCTTACTGGGTCATTATTGTAGTACAGGTCATCAGTGTCCTTAGAAAGTGGGGCACCTCTGCTTCCTAGATTGTTGTGTATTGGAGAGTTCAGGTTGCCCAAAGTAAGGATGGTGAAGATATACTGGGGTCCTTCCCAGGTGAAAGCAAACTGTTCCTGACTATTCTTGGCCACAAGAATAGAGAAAAGGACATTATTGAGATCCACAACCCCATGCCACGTGGGAGCTGGGGAGATGAGGAAAAGGAAATCATGATTGGAAACAGAAGACACTGAAATCAAAACAGGGGAAAATAGCCTGAGAAAGTACTGAGGGGTTGGAGGCGTTAGAGGTCTAAATGAGAACAGAGAATAGATTTAAGAGGAGTGAGGCAAGGGAGAGATGGTTATGATCAGATAGAGGAATGTCAAGAGTTTTTCATCGTGAAAGCAGAACACTTGTGGGTAATGATGAGATTCAGTTTGTGACACTGTCTTTCCTTATTAGGATGTAAGCTCCTTGAGGGTATGGACTTTATTTTTGATTTGTGGTCCCTGTGTGTAACATAGTGCCTGATACATAGTAACGACTGGATGAATTCCCTCTCCTTGCAGTGGAGTGAAGGATGAGATCATAGGATTTAAGGAGACTGAGGAATTTGGAAGTTAGGGAGGGGAAGATAACTTGAATGTGGGTGTTAAAGTTCCCTGATATAAGGGGAGGCTTTAGGGGCCACTAAATATACAATAATCATCATGATCTAGATTGGTGTAAAATTGTAATTGAGTGAATTTCAAAGGAGTTCAGTGACTGTGGTAGAGATAGTCTAGAAATGGCCAAGGATATAGTGGATATAGTGTCATCGCGGGGAGCCAATCTCTGGGAGTGCTCATAGGTGGAAGGAGAGGAATGATGGAGGAATAAGATGAAGGAAAATTTATTGACTATGGAACAGCAATTCCACACCTTGTTGATTGAGAAAAATGTTAGAGAAGGTTTTTACCTGAGAGTGGAGAGAAGCTTGAGGAGATAAGAGAAAGTTTGTTTTGCTTTCCTAATGACTCAGTTAAGATTAAATAACATAAATTTGTAGTGGACCTAGTCAGTTCAGTTTTGTAACTTCTTCCAGCCCCATTCAGCAGCTCAGTTTTATTTAGTCTTTTATTTGTAGTTTATGTAGTATGAGCACTCAGCTCTGATTTACTATTTCTATTAATGGAGGAAAACAGATTTTTTCCCCCCAATAGTAGATTTATATCACAAATCAGCCTTTTCTCTAGAGATTATGAAGAATTTTTTAAAATAATATTTTATTTTCCCCCCAGTTGCATGTAAAGACAATTTTTAACATTCATTTTTAGGGGGGTGGAGAAGGCAGTTGGAGTTAAATGACTTGCATAGTGTCACACAGCTAGTAAGTGTCTGAGGCTGGATTTGAACTCAGGTCCTCCTGACTCCAAGGCTAGTGATCTATCCATTGTACCACCTAGCTGCCCCTAAGATTCATTTCTTTAAAAAAATTTTTTGAGTTCTAAATTTTCTCCTTTCCTCACCTGTCTCCTCCCTAAAACAGGAAGCAATTTGATATAGGTTATACATGTGTAATCATTCAAAACATATTTCTATATTAGTCCATGTTGTGAAAGAAGACACAGACCCAAAGAAGAAAAAAATAAAGTGAAAAATAGTATGCTTCCATCTGCATTCAGACTCTTATGAGTTCTTTCTCTGGAGATGGATAGCATTTTTTTTTCTTTTTGGTGAGGCAGTCGGGTAGCATTTTTATTATGAGTCCTTTGGAATTGTCTTGGATCGTTGTATTGCTGAAAATAGCTAATTTATTCACAGCTGATCATTGTAAAAGATTGCTGTTACTGTGTGCAATGTTCTTTTGGTTCTACTCACTTCACTTTGCATTAGTTCATGTAAATTTTTCTGAAATTCACCTGCTCATCGTTTCTTATAGCACAATAGTATTCCATTATAGCCGTATACAAGTTGTTCAGCCATTCCCCAATTGATAGGCATCCCCTCAATTTCAACTTCTTTGCCACCACAAAAAGAGCTGCTATAAATATTTTTGTACATGTAGGTCCTTTTCCCTAAAATGGTATTGCTGGATGAAAGGTGTGTACAATTTGATTGCATAGTTTGCACTCCAGAATGGTTGGATCCATTCACAGCTCCACCAATTTTCCCACATCCTCTCCAACATTTATCATTTTTCTTTTCTGTCAAATTAGGCAGTCTGATATTATGTAAGGGTGGTACCTTAGAGTTGTTTTCACTTGCATTTTGCTAATCAATGTGATTTAGGCCATTTTTTAACATGATTTTGGTAGCTAAATTTTTTCTACTGAAAATTGCCTGTTCATACCGTTTGACCATTTATCATTTGGGGAAGACTTGTTTTCTTACAAATTTGACTCAATTCTCTATATAGTTGAGAAATGAGGCCTTTATCAGAGATACTTGCTGTAAAGATTGTTTCCCAGTTTTCTGTTTTCCTTCTAATCCTTTTGGTTGCACTGATTTTATTTGTATAAAACCTTTTGAGGTTAATATAATAAAGAAAATCAATTTTACATCTAGTAATGCTCTCTGTCTCTTGTTTGGTTACAAATTCTTCCCTTATCTGTAGATCTGACAGGTAAACTATTCCTTGCTCTCCTGATTTGCTTATGGTATCACCCTTTATGTTTAAATCATGTACCCATTTTGACCTTATCTTGGTATGTAGTGTGAGATGTTAGTCTATACCTAGTTTCTGCCACGCTGTTTTCCAGTTTTCCTACCAGTTTTTGTCATAAAGTGAGTTCTTGTCCCGAAAGTTGGGGTCTTTAGGTTTATCAAACACTGGATTACCGTGATCATTTACTATTGTGTCTTGTATACCTAATCTATTCCAGTGAAGAATTTTTTAATTAATTTAAAAAATTATCCAAAGGGCCTCTTTGGCATCAAATCTTTTTTTGTGGATTACCTTCTCTTAGGCTCCATGAATTGTCCTAAAACTATAATGAAGATCCCGTAATTTATAGCATGACCTCTAAAACTACACTTAACAATTGGTTTTTGGCTCAGCAAAACATTAACATCTATTATGAAACACAGGAATGATTTTTTAGAGAAAATAGTCCCAATAAGGACTGTCTTCTCACAAAAAATACATCTGTAATTCTTTCTTATTAAAGTCAGTAAGAAGCCTTGGGAGTGTTTTATTCTATTTTACAAGTCTTTTACTTGTTGGGCAGGAGTTACAATAGCACCGGATGGTATTTTCCCCTTTATCAACAATATCTTTGTAGCATTTTATGAAATAAAACAGTTTTCATTCTTATTAGTCATTGACTGATTTCTCTAATAGCTTTTATAACACTGTACTTGCTTTTTCCCCTTTGCTTCTGCTGCCTGTCTTCGGAATATTTCATTGTCCTCTTGATTTAAATTAAATCATAAGTAATCAAAAATGGTGTATAAGGATCACTGCTAGGTCTTATAATGGACACAGAAGTATACAACTCTGAAACTACTCTCAAGAAATTTCAAGTCTACTTTAGGAGAAAAGTTAACTAATAATAAAAGGCAGTATGTGATTATTGTCTTAGTCATTGTAGTTTGTAGACAGATTCACAAGCAGGGCCATATGTGTTACCAAGCCTGTCTTTATTTCAGCCACATAAAGAATATCATTTGGGTTTTAGTATTTAAGAAATGGAGAGAAGAAGAAAATCATCCATTTTATTAACAGGAGTGCTGGTGGTTGGTTTTCTTTCTTAAAGGCTGATAAAAGAATTTGAAATTATTGGTTAAAATGAGATTGGGGAATTTTCTATAAATCTATGGTCTCCCTTGTCTTTCATTAGTTCAGATGCTAATGAGTTAGTTGTTTTAAGTTAAACTCTATTTGTTCGGGACTTATTAAAGCTAAAAACAACAACAATGTGCACATTGGGGATATCTATGACATGGTGATATGAAATGGCTTATCTGACATATTATAGTGAACCTGCTATATAGCCTCATAGAGCTTAGCTGTCCTAATTCTAGTAATCTATACTGTAGTTCACTTTCTCCTTCCTATTTGTGATTCCTCTTACCTAGCCTGATTCTTATACTATGTAAATTTTGGGGGAATGAACATATTCCTGTATTCTAAAGATCTTGTTTTTAGTGTGATAATATTATTATTTAGTAAATTTCAAAGGTATTAGGATGCTGTTCTAATATTTTGGTACGATTTTATTCTAAGATTTCACTGTTTTCTTACTTTACAGGATTATTCTTAGACATCATTATTTTGACTAGTGGAATTCATCCTACATTAATGGTAGTTTAAACATCCAAAATGGGAATGTAGGACACTCCATTTTAAAACTGGGGATTTTCTTAAATATGAAGACCTCTCAAACAGCAAAATCCAAATTTTTTTTGGATTAAGCAGTGCCTTATATTGCTCTGGTCATATTACAAATACTTTTGAGGATTTAGCTCCCCACTAATTCATTAGCCTTTAATAAGGCTAGAAAAGTGTTTTTTTTTTTGAAACCAAACTAGCAAGAAAATAGTTAATACTTAGTACGGAATTCTGGGAATCTACCATTCAGTGGGCAGTGTTTGCTTTTCAACATTCCTTCCATTGTGGGTTTTTTGTTGTTTTTTTTTAAATGAGTTGGCTCCATGAATTCTTGCTTCCTCTCAGTCCTGCTGAATAGTCATAGAACACTTTAGTTCGGAAATGTGCAATTCACAGCAGTTGCCATCCTCCCTCTGTCAAGGTCATGAGGAGCTTTCTCTTTTAGTCAAACCAGCTCATGTGCACTTGGCTGTTTTTCTTCCCGAAGGTTACACAAGAGATAAATCATTCCTTGCAATGGTGGTCGACATAATCCAAGAGCTGAAGCAGCAGAACTCCAGCTTGGTGTATGGTAGGAAGTTGTTTTTCTTATTCCTCTATTTCCAGACCTGAGGCGAGACCATGTTAGATGACAAACCAATGCATTTCTTTCAGTGGGGTTTTCAAATTAGCCTTGAGAGAATAAGAGTGTCGGTATGCAAAATGTGTAAAATGATAGAAAAAGAAGCAAGTTGGCTGCCTTGTCTTAGGGCATGCAAGGTATTGGGTGCTCCCAAGAGCAGGGTGTTAACAGGAGCACTTTAGTGCTCGGAATACTCAATGCTATTTCTAACCATCACCACATGCCCGGGATTGCAAACGTAATCTTAAATGGAAAAGCTTGTGTGGGCAGCTGTAGGGTAGCCGTAGGTAGCTTCAGTAATTCTGCCCAAACAACCCCACACAATCCTCCACAAAAAGCAGGTGCTGACTCTGCACAGCCACATAAAGGAAAGGAACACAGAGAAAAAACCCATTCAGGGGGCTACTTCATCCCTGAGGGAAAAGTGACTAACAGTGAGCTGGAACCAGTTGTATCCAAGAGGTTATACAAGTCAGGGACGCAGGCTGATAAGTCTGTATCTTGGAACTGAGGAGGATTATTCAGCCCAGCCATGGGGTCTGTAATAACAGTAAGGAGGGGAAGAGTCAAAAAATGAGAGCTGGAGAATAGAAGAAAAAGACTGAAATATCAAAAGAACTTAAGGGACAGCTAGAACTGGGAGTTTTGATTCACATGACTCAGAATCAAATAGGAAGAAAGGATCATAGAGATAGAGAGAAAAAGAGGGCATCCTGAGAGACGTTTCTTAGTGTGGTAGGAAAGAGCCCTGAATTGATGTGGCTGATGTGTTGATTTGTTTTCCTTGACAATACTTACTTGTTAAGAGTTCTTTTGTAGGCTGAGAGTGGGGAGAATTAGTGGGTAGTGATGGAAACATAAAAAAATTAAAAGGAAAAAAATGAATGTCAGCAAAACATTTTAAATACCCAGGAGAAATGAAAAATAATTTTAGGAGATAAAAATGAGACAAGTTACTACCTTGTAAAATTTTCAAAACAAGCTATACACAACAATTTCAGTTTCATATACCATATGTCCCAAAAGTCTTAGTATAGTTTTAACCTTTAAAAATTTCAGAAGTAGGGGGCAATGAGGTGGCGCAGTAGGTAGACCACCGGCTCTGGAGTCAGGAGGACCTGAGTTCAAATGCGGCCTTAGACACATGATACTCACTAGCTGTGTGAACCTGGGCAAGTCACTTCACCCCATTGCCTTGACCAAAAAAAAAATTTTTTTCAGAGGTATAAATGCTACAAGCCTACAAAAACATTTGAAAGTTTATTTTAGTTTTTTAAAACTTAGTTTTATGAATTTTGAGTAATAGCATTTTAAATCTTAACAAGATGGGGCATACTGTCATTATGTATTGTGTGTAACATTCTGGATGATACTTTCAAACCAGTGGATAAATGGAGGAGGTCTCCTTGCTTGACTGCTTTGGTCTCCTGTTCTACCTCCATTAGACTTTTTTCTCTTGAGGCTATATCAAAACCATCACACATGCTTTGTTCTTTGGATGATCGTAAGGCTATGATTACAAATGCGTTCTGTTGATTCACTGATTAGCAGTTGATAAAAGTTTTTACAAAGTTAAAAAATTGTTGAGAGCAATAGATAGCACAATATGAGGTTATGCTGAATCGTCAGTATTTTAAAATTTCAAATAACGTTTCAAATGTTTTTCTCCGTAAGTTTGTAGCATTTATACTTCTGAAGTTATTAAACCTTAAAACTGCTATTTTATTTAAACCTCAAAAACTGCACTAAATTTTTGGGACACCTTGTACAATCCTTTTTATGGCAGCTATATTGAAATGTTTGTATATATGTGGATAACTGTTAATTACAATTAAAAAAAAAAGTTCGCACCCAGCTTCAAACCCAGTTCTCCAGCACTCACCTGAAAATCACTTACCTTTTCTGATCCTGTCTTGTTCTGAGGAAAGTTCTTCATAAACATTTGAATGCTATCTATGAGCTATTAATCTGGGGCTTACTTAGTGAAATTTGAGATAGTCACTGTTATTTCCATAATAATAATATTTCTACTCACAAAGACAGTGAAGAGGTAGGAATGGGGCCTGGAGCGTTGCATTGGTACAAGGAGCTCCTGGGTGAAGAAGGTCCCTTTGCCAACATAGGTCAGCACTTTTTCTGCTGCAGTTACCTAGAGCACAGAGACATTAAGTGACTTGCCTATACTCGCACAACTCGTATCAGAGGCTACACTTGAATCTAGGGTCTTTATGGCTTCTAGGCTGGTTTTCTACAGTCATACAGTCTCAGTAGAAAATGAAACTGATTATAAATTTAAAAAATTAACAAGGCAGCTTTGGACAGTGAAATGCAGAAGACCATGTAACAAGATGCATGGTGGAAAAGAAGCAAGATCATTTATCATATTTTCTTGTATTTTTTGGGTTGTTTTTAACAGTCAATTAAGATTTTTATAACATTGAAGAGTATGTTACATCCTATTTCTCTGTTATGACATGAAAAGGGTCTTTTCCTAAAGTGCTTTTTTCTTTTGCAGTATGTGATCCGGTGATGGGTGACAAGAGGAATGGAGAAGGCTTCATGGTTAGTAATTCCCTGACTGTTTGAATGATGAAGCTGGTTCACTTCTTTGTTTTGTTTTGGTTTTTTTGGTGAGGCAGTTGGGGTTAAGTGACTTGCCCAGAGTCACGCAGCTAGTAAGTGTTGTGTGTCTGAGCCTGGATTTGAACTCAGGTCGTCCTGACTTCAGGGCCAGTGCTCTATCCACTGTGTCACCTAGCTGCCCCTGGTTCACTTCTAAAAGTAACTGAAAGGGTGCCCTTATATTGCTCAGTATTTGGTAATGATAATGTAACATTTGTATGGCATGCTAATTGAGGCCAGCTTAAATACATTGTGGGATTTGAGACCCACACCAATTCTGTGAGGTATAGGTACTGCACGTTTTACAGAAGAGAAAACTGAGGCTTAGATTTATTTGCCTGTGGTCACACGACCAGAAGGCACCAGAAGCAGGATATGAGTCATGGTTTTTCCTGACTCCATCACTATTAACAACACTCTCCCCACCATGAAACATGGCTGGGGAACTTGAAATAATTGAGCTTAAGGAGCAGATGAAAGCTTGGAAGTATCTGGAGAAATACCCATAACTTGCTACAGAACTGTCCTAATCCTAATCTAAATGAGATTATGTAACTGTATAGGATGAGCCCTGGCACTGGCAGTTTGGGGAGCTATTTGTTCAGTCATTTCATTTGTGTCCAACTCCTTGTGACCCCATTTGGGATTTTCTTGGCAAAGATACTAGAGTGGTTTGCCATATCCTTTTCCAGCTTATTTTCCAAATGAGGAAACTGAGGCAGAGTTAAGTGACTTGTCCAGGGTCACACAGCGAGTCTGAGGTCAGATTTGAACCCATATCTTTCTGACTCCAGGCCTGGAAATCTATCACTGAGCTACCTAGCTGCCCCTTGGAGATCTGTACTTCAAAATTAATGCAGAAAAAATTTATAAATAATTTCATTTCATTTAATACTCAGTGTATATTATGTGGTAAGTATAGTATTTGCAAAGTAAACAAAATTTGTCTGTTACACATAAGCACTGACCTCAGCATGTCAGATTTTGAACTCACAAAGAATTCAACAAAAACAGCTCTTCTTATTTAAAGCCAACTACATGAACTCCACACCCATATAGTGTTACCAGCTAAAACAGTCAGTGTGTACAGATTCTTCCCAGCAGACGATATTATGCTAGGAGTAAAAAAAAAAATATGGGGAACCATTGCTTTAGTTAGTGTCTTTTTCTTTCTTCTCCCTAGTCTCCTGTCTATAATGCTTCTTTTCCCAAGGATCATCTCACAGTTGACTTATGCTAACTGTATAATTTCTATTACCCTGTTTCTTTTCTTTCTATCCTGATGGACTGAGGTCCCAGGGGTTCCCTGTACCTACACCAACTATGCATCCTGGATTTTCTGGGACAATCCCACTTTAAAAAAAAGTAAAAAGCAATCAGGGTTAAGTGACTTGCCCAGGGTCACACAGCTGGTAACTGTCAAGTGTCTGAGGCTGGATTTAAACTCAGATCCTCCTGACCCCTAGGCTGGAGTTCTATCCACTTCAACACCTAGCTGCCCCTTTTTGGCTCACAAAATATTGTCACTCTGCCTTTCCCTCTTTTTCCTTGAGCTAAATTGCTGAAGCCCTAAGTGGCCTGCTCCCTGATTTCTGGAGGTTCTTTAGACTCTACAAGCGCTTCTTAAACTGTGGGTCGTGACCCCATATGAGGTCACAAAAAATTTGGCAACAGTATAAAGTTTTATTTGTTATTAGCTATGAAATCCAAATGTATTTATATAATGCATTATAAAAGGCCCCTTAGATCTTCTGAGACCATTACCCAGAGCAAAGGTCTGTCATCCCAGTTTCATCATCTATAAAATAAAGGAGTTGGACTAAATGATTTCTGAGGCCCCTTCCAGCTCTAAAGCTCTGATCCTTTGCTCCTGTGCTCTTCCTTTTCTTCCTTCCTCCATTTCCTGTGGGAAGCTAGATAGATGATTTTGTGGCTGCCCTGCTGAAAGCTACAGTATGTTCCTCCTCAGGTCGCTATGTAGCCTCCCTTCTTCTTGTTGATTTAGGATCATGGGGTTATGGCATTTAGACCATGGAAATCATGCCTCCACCCCTACCATATTACAGAAGAAACGGGGGCCAGAGAGGTGAAATAACTTGGCCACAGTCACCTAATAGCAGAGCCAGGATTTGTTACCCAGGTTTCATGACCTTAAAATCCAATGCTTTTCATTCAGTTTCTATTTTGTTAGCAAATACATTAAGATACATTTCACTTGATTTGTTCCATTTTTGTTTGCAAAAACATTAAAAAGCAGACTTCTGACCCATTCCTACCTTTTCTTGCCACTTAAGCTCAGTGAGAAATTGGTCACTCTCTGAGAAACAGCCTGATAGTTTCTAGCTGCTTTCCCCTTAACCCCACAAAGGATGGGGGGTGGGGGTGGGACTGTACTATTAGGGAAGGCATTTACTTCTCTACTCTTCCTTAACTTTATACTCTTTCTCAAAACTTTATGTTCTGGGAAGTATCTGGATCCTTGGCTATGGCATCTTCTTTTGAGTGGTCTTCCAATGTTAAGAACAAAGTTGGGGTCGTTAAATCTTCCATCTTCTTCCCTGGCTTAGACATTAATTGCCACAAAGGACACTAGAAGCAATTCACAAATTTGCGTCACCCAGATGACCTTTAAAAATAATTTTATGGGGGGCAGCTAGGTGGCGCAGGGGATAAGAGCACTGGCCCTGAAGTCAGGAGGACCTGAGTTCAAATTCAGCCTCAGACAAAACACTTGACACTTACCAGCTATGTGACCCAGGGCAAGTCACTTAACCCCAGTTGCCTCACAAAAAAATAATAAGAATAATAATAATAATTTTATGTATTTTTTATTTTCAACATTTGCTTTTATAAGAGTTGGAGTTCTAAATTTTTCCTCCTCCCCAAGACAGCATGCAAATCTGATATAGGCTATACATGTATGATCATATTAAACATGTTTCCACATTAGTCATGATGTGAAAGAAGAATCAGAACAAAAGGGTAAAACCACGAGAAAGAAAACACAAAAAACAACCAAAAAAAAGTAAAAATAGTATGGTTTGATCTGCGTTCAGCCTCCATAGTTCTTTCTCTGGATGTGGATAGCACTTTCCATCATGAGACTGGAATTGTCTTAGATCCTTGCATTGCTCAGAAGAGCTGAATCTAACAAAGTCTGTCATCGTATAATGTTGCTGTTACTGTGTACGATGGTTCTTCTCACTTCACTTAGCATCAGTTTGTGCAAGTCTTTCCATCACCCGTATGATCTCATCTAATGTTGGAAAACCAAATTTCTGCCACATAAATCTATTCTTCCGTTTTGTTTTGTATTTTGTTTTGTTTTACTTAATAGTCTTCCAGTTTATCTTTTCATTTTAATTTCCATAACCTCATGGCCCTTATTTGCTATTCCCTCGTTTTTTATTTATGCCATCATTAAAAAAAAGAGTCAGCCAGTAAACCTCTCCAATAAGACTTAGCTAAAATATATGAAGTCAATAGTGAAACTTCATTTTCCAAAGATGCTTTTATTCAATTTGTAAGTAGTTGGGACTGTTGGTTAGGTGGGAGCAATTTTGTGCTTTTCGTTTAAAAAATTCTTAAGTCAATTCAGTATAAGTAAAGTTATAAGACTTAAACCAAATAAAGTGATTATTCAAGATGTAGATTTTGTTCAGTCACCCTGTCATGATTTACACGTCCAAAGGTTACCTTTATTCAGAGTGTGAGGGTCTGGTAAATGTTGCATGACCAGCTCACTTGGCAAATATGTTTCAGTACCTCTATTCCAGAGAAGTTACCTTATAGTAAACCAGTGCTAGGAAATTTTGGCTAATTAATAGTCATCTAAAAACTTCCTTGGTAATCTGAAGTATGCTATAAAGTTCATGAGTTTTCTATCAGATCCTTACATACTGTGTGCTTCAATCTGATTTTTTTTTTGGGTGAGGCAATTGGGTTTAAGTGACTTACCCAGAGTCACACAGCTAGTGAGTATTATGTGTCTGAGGCCAGATTTGAACTCAGGTCCTCCTGACTCCAGGGCTGGTGCTTTCTCTACTATACCACCTAGCTGCCCCCTGATTTTTTTTTTTTAGAGAAATCTGGATGAGGTCTGAAATCTAATGAAAATTCTCATATTGAATTACTAATCAGACATCCTAAGAGAAAACAATATTCTAGTAGACTAGGGGGTACATTTTAATCACTTTAGCCAAAATTAAAAGTAAGCAAATTTTCTCTATACTATGTATTTTGTAATTAAAACTAGAATATTTGATACATCTCCATGTAGCCTCTCCCATTTATTTTATCTCATGCTATGATTTTTCCCTTCTTTGCATTATTTCCTTATAAGAACTCTGATTGAAAAAGGATTGATCTACTTACTATCCTTATAACATGCAGTTCCCTTGTCTGGAATGCCCTTCCCTCCACATCTGACATTATAACCCTCGAAGCCCACGGTGAGCTCTCCTTCTTTTGAGCTCCTATAGCAGTTATTATCTGAACCACTCATTTGGCACTTAGTATACACTGTCATAATTTGTTGAATATCTTTCCATGTGTATGCCCTATTTTAAAATTTAAATGTTTTGAGGGTAATACGAAGTGTTTGTACTGTTTTGTATTCCGTGAATATGCTAAGCACTGTCCTGAATACCTACTAGTTTCTCAATTACTTCTTGCTTAATGTATAACTTTTCTCTTTTTCTTTTTCATAGTATGTTCCAGCAGATCTCCTTCCAGTTTACAGGGAAAAAGTCGTGCCTGTCGCAGATATAATAACTCCAAATCAGTTTGAGGCTGAGTAAATCAACTTTTTTTTTTAAGACTTCTTGTTAAGTACATGATTCTACATCTAAGGTTACTGAGGGTAGCACTGAGATCATGTAGGAATCTTCTCTCTGATGGGCTTGATGCTGGAGATATGAGTTCTTTCAGATCACTGAGGTACCATTTTAGAAAATTTTCTGCCCCAGTATATTGCGTGTCTGAAAGGGTTAATTCATTTCTAGAAGGTAAGCAAGTTACTTGCCATTCACAAGCAAGATTTAGCTAAATTGACAGAACTATAGTTTTTTTTTGGTTTGTCTGTTTGTTTTTTTGGTTTTTTTGTGAGGCAGTTGGGGTTAAGTGACTTGCCCAGGATCACACAGCTAGTAAGTGTCAAGTGTCTGGTCTGAGATCGGATTTGAACTCAGGTCCTCCTGACTCCAAAGTCAGTGCTCTATCCACTGTACCACCTAGCTGCCCCAAAACTATAGTTTTTAATAGTAACCATTTAATCACAAGTTTATTTTGATTGAATTTTTTGCCTATGTCTGTAGAAAGGGTGGAAACACTGGAAGCAGATGGTATTTTCATTTCTGTGAGGGCTTCCTTGACATATGTGGTCTTTAGGACGCAAAGAAAAAAAAATTTTTTTTTTAGCCATCCTATTCCATGTAGAAATTTGGGTAGTGGATAAAACTGGATGCCATAACATCAAGATAACTATTTGGAAAACTGTGCTCCAGCAACCTAAGCACCTGAAAACTTGTGCGTGTCAACCCCAAAAGACATGTGTATGTAGTACCCCTTAGAAAAACTTAACCAGAATTTTAAGATTCAGGTAAAAATATGTGTCTTGATGGCTGAAAAGAGTGTTTCAGGGTACCCGTAGTGGAGAACAGATTTGAGCTCCTTGATTTTTAAATGCTTTCTTTCTTTCTTTTTTTTTTTTAGAAAAATTACGTACATAGTAATACGTTACTCTAATGCCTGCCTCATCGTGGTATAGATGACGCTGGGTTTTCTAAGGCTATGCCAACAGATTAGGGCTGCCCTGGCAACTAAGTAGGAAAGTATCAGCTCTCCAAGATCAACTTAACTAAGAGAAGTCTCATTACTGTTGGGACATGAATTTTTTTTTTAGCAATGACAAGCCACGATTGTAAAATGTTTTCCCCAAAAAAAATTGTTTGGCAATACATCATTAATTTCAGATAAGAAAGACAAGGGAAAAAAAGATTTTTAATTAACTAAGTTGTAATTATAGAATTATATTTCCCCATTTATTTAGATAACTGAGAGATACCTGGATGGTAGCTTGATATTGTATAATAATCTATGCTTTGCTATATATAAACCTTAATCAAACTTTTGAACAGAATATATAAACTCATTAGTTTAAAAACTTGTAATATTTTCATTTTCAAAGGTAAATTCTACCTGATAGTATGTAACAGATAACATTATATTCTTATGCATTTCTATATACTACTGTATTGCCTTTGTGTTTTTAGATTGACATTCATTATCGTAGGTTAGGGCTTAAGGCATACATGAAACATGTCTCTGAGAACCTAATCCATAGAACCAAAAACTTGATAAACCTTATTACTTTTTCTTCTTCTTGTTCCCCTCCCCTATTCTTTTTGTTTGTCCTTTAGGTTACTCACTGGAAAAAAGATTTATACACAAGAAGAAGCATTAGAGGTAGGCACAGCTACCTTTGAATTTATAATTCATTTTAACTGCATACTACCTCAAAATAATTTAAGAATCAACTTTGTTGAAGCAGCTAGGTGGTGCAGTGGATAGAGCACTGGCCCTGAAGTCAGGAGTACCTGAGTTCAAATCTGGCCTCAGCCCAAACACTTGACACTTACTAGCTGTGTGACCCTGGGCAAGTCACTTAACCCCAATTGCCTGAAAACAAACCAAAAAAAAAAAGAATCAACTTTGTTATATCCTGTCAATTTCAGCACCTTTTACATTCAAGACTGTCTCTAATTGATGGGGTGGGGAAGAAGAGAGAAGGGAAGGAAATTCTCTTTAAGGCAAATAGATTTCAAGGCAAATGAATTTCAAGCAATGCTATGGAGAGAAGTATTCTGCCCATGGCATATTTTATTCATTATTTATTTTCACATAATGCATTCTAAAAGGTCTCTTGGATTTTGTGAAACTGTTACCCAGGATGAAGATAGATTTCACTTTACCAATTTTATCATCTGTAAAATGAGAGAGTTGAATTACATGACCTCTAAGTCCCATACAGATCTCCATCTCTGACCCTTTGGTCCTGTGCTTCTGTCCTCTCCCTGCTGTCTGCTGGAAGCTCATATAGTTTCGCCTTCCCAGGTCATATGATATGAATGTTCACTTTTTCTTCCTTCCTTTTTCAAGCAGAACTAAAACAACGTGATCATAAAGTTGGTTGAAAAAATAGGGGCACAGAGAAATGTCAGCACTGGATCCATCTGGTCCAAATCCCTCAGCCTGTGTAATGATGATGGGACCATACGAAGGACAAAGTCCCACATTGTCTTTGCCGAATATCTCAGGAGAAATCTTAGACAACCTGGGAAACCTGTTCAATTCTGACCCACACTGTAAAGATATATTTAGGCTCCCAAAGACCTAGATGCCCAGTTAAAATATTGAAGTCCATGTTGTGATTTGTGTGAACTCAAGTTTGTTTAATTTGTGTAAGCTTTTTGAAAATGTTTTTCTAACGTGACAGTAATAATAGCTAGCATTTACATAGAGCTTTTAGGTTTGCAAAGCGCTATACAGTGTATATGTGCCTTATTTGAACCTCACAACAATCCTATGAGGTAGGTACTAGTATTTTCTCCAGTTTAGAGATGAGGAAACAAGTGCATTGGGTTACACAGCTAGCTAAATTCAGGACTTCCTGACTCTGGATGTCCATTATGTCACCTTCATCCAGCATATCTCTGGACAATAATAATAGTTCACATTCTCTGTTTTGCGTATGAGGAAGCTGAGACTGAGAGGTGAAGTGATTTTGTCTACAGCCACACTACTATTCTGAGGGATTTGAACTCAGATGTCCTGACTCCAAGTCCAGTACTCTTTCCACTATGCCATGCTTCTGGGAAATACAGAGGGAAGAGAGACTGTGACTTGTTACTGTAACTGTACTTGGTTATTGTAACCAGTGCCCTAGTCTTTTTAACTTTGTGACTCCACTGGAGATCAGTTTGTCTTCATGTGCTATAGAAGGAAAGACAAAATACAGTGGATCCCATGGATTCCTCTGAAGGTGGGTTCTACCCCAGGTGTCCCTCATGTGGCAGATAGTGTGCCTCCACGGGCACAAGAGTTAGAGCAAGTGAATTTATGCATGAGTGTAATATATGTGACACAGCTAGTATCCCAACAGTAAAAGGGAGTCCTCACTCATGATGGTGAAACTAGTTCCTATAGAAGCAGATTCTGGTAATCCTGGGTCTTTCCACTAGAACAACATGATAAAAGAAGTAGGATTATTAGAATAGGAATAGAATTAGGTTAGAAAAAGTAGGGTTACTAGAATTTATTCAGAATTCTAGTCAGAGGTGTATTAGCAAAAATTTGTTAATGCTAACAATGCTGCCCTCAGACCAAGGCCTAATCAGGTTTCCTTTATATTAAGTGATTCTTCAGAACTTCTGTTTGATGCATATATTGCAAAAAAAAAAAAAAAGGAAACAACAACTTAGAGAGAACCATCTGATATGAGGTTAGATTCATACCAGTATTCCTAAAGACAACACCTTCATGCATGGGAAGGAATATAAAGCTCTGAATTTGGGGATTATTTGGTAAATCAAAAGTTTTTTCATATGAAATCTTCTTGAAGCTAGTTTGTGTTTTTTACGTGTATGTGGAAATTTTTGTATTTTATTTTTTTTCCAATTACATCTAAAAATTATCTTTAACATTTTTTTTTAATTTTGAGTTCCAAATTCTTTCCCTTCCCCCCTCCTTGAGAAGGCAAACAATTTGATATATAATACATGTATGGTCACACAAAAGATTTCCTTATTAGCCATGTGGCAGAAGAAAACACAGACCAAAAGAAAAGAAAAAGAAAGTAAAAAGAAAAAGCATGCTTCGATATGTATTCAGAGTCTCTCCATTCTTTCTGTAGACGTCAATAGCATTTTTCATTATAAGTCCTTCAGAGTTGTCTTGGATCATTCTTTTATTGAGAATAGCTAAATCATTCACCGTTGATCGTTATACAGTATTGCTGTTACTGTGTACAATGTTCTCCTCATTCTGCTCACTTCACTTTGCATCAGTTCATCTAAGTCTTTCCAGGTTTTGCTGAAAGCATCCTGCTCATCATTTCTTATAGTATTCAGTCACAATCATATACCACAGTTTGTTCAGCCATTTCCCAGTTGATGAGCATCCCCTCAATTTCCAATTCTGTCACCACAAAAAGAGCTGCTATAAATATTTTTTGTACATATAGCTCCTTTTCCTTTTTCTTTCTTTTTAAAGTTTGATTGATCCAAAATTGATCCAAAGCAATTTAAGATACTTTGAAAGAATCAGAGCAGCTGAAGGGGATTGGCAGTGGGGTGGCTTGGTGTGGCAAAGGTTCTAGCAATGCCATCAGAGTCACCAGGAATCAACAGCCTTTGTGCATTAGTAACCAGCAAGATAGGTAACCATTCCTCTCAGTTAACATATCAGCCAGTCAATCAGTCAGCTGGAGAAATGGAAAACATGAAGATGGAGGTATGATCTTCCCCACAGTCTAATAAAAACACTGGAGATTGGAATTATCTCATGGGATGAGAGATGAAGGAAATCTTACTTGCATTGGTTTTGGGCTCCAACTATGAAAAGCAAGCTATAATACAGAAATATGGAGTAATCCGTATAGTATATGTAAGGCAAATTATTTAAACAAACCTTATTAAACCAAACTTTCAACAATTATTTAGATATTAAATCTCGAATGTTGATGTAGACAGTAGAAAATATGATGTTTTCCCCTGGATTCTTTCATTTATTGATGGAAGTTTACAAACAGGAGGAAAAGTTCTTGGTCATGGAAATGCATGACTTTCCAGAAGTGCTGCCTTAGTTAATTACATATATTATAGAAACATTTGGAGTGAAGTACAAAGATTCATTTATATATAACTTTTTTTAAAATGGATGTTCTGTATCAATCCTAATGCTGGTATGGAAGCTAGCTTAGTTGAGTCTTGAAAGAAGCCATGGATTCTAGGAGGCAGAGGGAGAACAAGGAAGGGAATAAGCATTTATATAGCACCTACTATGTGCCAGGCAGTATGGTAAATGCTTTTTACAAATATTATCTCTTTGATCCTCATAACAACCCTGTATGGTAGGTGCTAGTGAGAAACTTGAGGCAGGTAGAAGTTATTTGACTTGCCCAGGTTCATACAGCTAGAAAAGTGTCTGAGATTGGATTTGAACTCAGGTCTTCCCAACTCCAGGCTTAGTGATATATGCCTGATGCCTCTGGTGGACAGGCAGTGCAGTTGAGAGGTTGGCAGTGTCACTGAGAAGGAGCCAAGAAGATTTGCATGCTAAAAGATGGGTAATACAAGAAGAAAAATCATATAAAATGAAAAGAAGGTTGTTAATTACGAAATATGAGCTTCAGAGGGCCCAGAGTTGGTTGCAGGAATTGGCAGACAAATCTGTATTAGGATTTCGTTGGTGTAGGGTTAAGGTAGATGGGATGAGGAAGCAGACAGCTCCTAATCTTCATGGATGAGGTCAGAAAGCTCAGTGGTATTGTTATCCATCTGGAAGCCTAGTAAAGAAGTAAGAGGTAATAGCATTGGTCCAACTTCCCTCCTTATTAGATTAGCTAGCCTGTGGAAATCTCCTAATGAAAGACAAAAATGTTTCCTTTTGCCTGCTACCGTATAGATATTCTATTTTTTTGCTTTTCTTTTGGTGAAAGTTAAATGCATCATTATTCTTTGGAGAGTGACTAACCTGCCTTTCTCTTTGTACAGAGCTGTTCTAAACAGATTGTATATATGGTTTGAAATAGGGTGGAGTGGGGACAGGAAAAACAGATTTGAAGTTGTGCTAAGAAAGCAACTGAAATATCTATATCCTTTGGACCAAAGTTCATGCTAGGCATATACCCCTAAGAAAGTCAAAGACAGTTAGAAATATCCATATGCTCCAGAATATTTATAGCAGCCCTTGTCGTGGAAGCATAGAAGTGGAAACAAAGTAGATGCTCATCAGTTAAGGAGAATGGCTAACCAAATGCAAATGTAAAGGAATGTTACTGCACTAAGAAATTATCGATGTGAACAATAATACAAAGAAGCATAGTAAAACATCTGGACTGATACACAATGAAGTAGGCAGAACCAGGAAAATAATATACATAGTGATTGCAACAATGTTAATTGGGGGGGGGAGAGCAAAAAATTGAAGCTGAATGATTGAACCAGTCATTTAGACTTGGCTCTGAAGAAGAGATGAGAATATATGTACTTGCCCACTTTAAGAAGGAGGAAACTCTGGGAGTGGATCATTGCATAAAATGTTGGACCTAGTTGATATGTTAGTTTGTTTTACTGAACTACCTTTTGTTTCTCTTCTTCTCGCACCTCCCCTTTTGAAAAGGGATGCTTCTCTGGGTGGTGGAAGAATATATTTGAAAATTAACAAGCTAACAATAAAAATATTTTTTAAATGTAAAAAATGCAGTTCTTGTCTTAAGGGAACTCATGTCATCATGGTGAACTATGACTTGTGAATCTGACTTATTTTGGATGCGAAAGAAGATGGTTAGGATGTTGTTACATTATGGCAGAGAACTCTGATTTGCCATTCTGGAATAATATTTAATTCAGTTGGTCTTAATAAGATGATAATGATTGTTACTAAGATCCTGTTTTTCTGTGCTTGGGTAGGTAATGGATATACTTCATTCTATGGGACCAGAGACTGTAGTTATCACCAGTTCCGACTTACCAGCTTCTTCAGGCAACAACTACCTGATTGTTCTGGGAAGCCAGAAGAAACGTAAGTCATGTTCTTCACCTACTTTCTAACCTAATATGGCTCTTCTAGTTTGCTCGCTATAAGGGAATGTCAGTGTGGACATGTCTAAAATGAACAATTAAAGAAAGCATAATCCTAACTGTATGTGCTGTCCCAAAAGTCTTAGTGCAGTTTTAAGGTTTAATAATTTCAAAAGTATAAATGCTACAGATTTGTAAAGTACTTAGCACAGGACCTGGCACATAGCAGGCACTCTATAAAGCTTGCTCCCTTCTTTCCTTTATTCAGGGTATAAGATGCAGCTATGGCCAGAAAGGCCAACAAAATTCTGAGTATCATGAAGGAGTATCGAAAATAAGGAAGACTAAGATTATAAAGGGAATGAATGGACTTATATAGTATATGAAGATTGATTTATAAACTTCAGACTTTAGTTTGGAAAGGAAAACAGATTGAGGGAAGGATATATGATGTACTCTGTATAATCCTTAAGGGTATGGCTATGGTGATCATCAAATGCCAAGAATTTTAGGACAGGTTAAAAGGTAAAGAGCATTTTATACAGAAAGTACTAATTTTGTGGAACTTATTATTCCAAGAAGAAGTGTAGGCTGAAAATCAACTCAAGAAGGATTTAAACCCATTTCCAAAATTGCTAAGAGCAGTTGCACATGTGAGGGAACCCATTCTTTCCCATAGAGTCAGATCATAGGATCCACAGCTGGAAAGGATTGTAGAGATCATCTGACCCAGCTCCCTCCTGTTACTGATGAGGAGACTGGAGCTTAGTGAGGTTCATGACTTGCTTATGGGCCTGTGGATAGTAAGCAGGAGCACGACTGTAAGTTAAAGATGGGCTGGTAGAGGAAGTTCACCTGCCTGGGAGTTTCCACTAGCTAAATCCCTGATTGCTGAACTAAGTTACAGTGCTGCCAGAATGAAATCCCCGCTCCATGTTCTATGGACTAGATCGAGAATCCCAAACTGCCCCACCCTGCTTTTGAAAAATGAGGAGCCAGCATTCTGAGTCCTTTTGCTTTAATACATTTGATATATTCAGAATCTGTTGAATGAGGGTGCTGTTAATGCATGCAGTGAGGTATACTTAATTATCCTCTCATGTCTAATTATTTGAGAATTTTATTTTCTCACGAAGGCACTACTATCCTAGTCTCATTTGTTTCCTTTGTACAGAAAAACCAGATGGCACAAAAGTGACAGAAAGAATCAAAATGGAAATTCAGAAAGTGGATGCTGTCTTTGTGGGAACAGGAGACTTGTTTGCTGCCATGCTCCTGGCTTGGACACACAAGCACCCAAATAATTTCAAGGTGAACTTAAGAGAAAATTTGTTTTTTCTTTCTGTCAGAAATGACAAGAATAAATTTTGCTTCCATTCTTATGCCTCTTGACTCCTCTGCAGCTCATAACACCACTGACAGTGCTCTCATCTCTTGACTTCCAGTACACTGTGCTTTCCCAGTTCTCCCTTCCTGGCTCATCCTCAGTCTCATTGCTAGATCATCAATCAGCCCTTTGGTGTCATCCTTCTGTGTGCAGTTGGCTTCCTTTTGTTCTTGTTGTTGGAGAGGCAATTGGGGTTAAGTGACTTGCCCAGAGTCACACAGCTAGTGAGTATTATGTGTCTGAGGCTGGATTTGAACTCAAGTCCTCCTGACTCCAGGGCTGGTGCTGTTTCCGCTGCACCACCTAGTTGCCCCTGGCTCCCTTTTCTACATATATAGCTCTAATCTGTTGAACTCTAGGCCCACATCATCTGTGCCCTCCAGACAGTCCCATCGGCATCTCAAACTAATTATGTCCAACCTCCAAATTATGGTCCTTTCAGCACTTAGGTTCATTTACTTGGAGTGTTCCTTGAGTATCTACTTCTTGTCCTCACTCATTTTTGTACCCCTTGTATTCAGGCTTCAGACTTCATCACTGAAATGAAACTGCTCTATCCAAAGTTACCAAGGATGTCTACTTGCCAAAATCCAAAGGCCTTTTCTCAGTTTTTATCCTTTTTTGCCCTCTGCAATTTTTGATGCTATTTACCATGTTCTCCTCCTGCATAATCTCTCCTCTCTGGATTTTTACTGCTTTCTCTTGTTCTCTACCTATCCTTTCCTTCTCCGCTTCCTTTGCTCTATTATCATCCATAACACATGCCCTAACTGTGGGTACACTGGAAGCCTCTCCTCTGGGCACTTTCTGCCCACTCTACACTTTCTCTCCCTTGGGGACCTCATTGATTCACATGGGTTCACTTCTTCTCCATGCAGACTTCCAGGTCTTCATCACCGCCTCATTATTTGACATTTGAAATGAGTGTCCTCAGACTGAACATGGGCCAAACAGACCTCATCCTCCTCACACGTCCCCTCTGCTCCTCAAACTCACCTTTCTTACAAACTTCCTTGTTTCTTTTGAAGACATCACTCACCTTCCAGTCACCTGGATTCATAACCTTGGAGGCATCTTCAGCTTCTCACTCTCCCCTCACCTCATCTCTCCATTCAGTTGCCAAGCCTTGAATTTAGCAGCGTTAACGCTTTTCCCGTTTGTCCCTTCCTCTCTAGCTCTCAGGACTACCATCATCACTTTTCACCTCCTAATTGGTTTTCCTGCCTCAAGTCTCTCCCCTCTTCAGTCTGTCCTCCACACGGCTGCCGTTGGTGCTCCTAAAGGCAATTCCTACTATGTCATTCGCCTATTCTGTAGATTTCAGTGGTTTCCTGTTCCCTCTGGAGTCAAATGCAAACTTCTGTGTTTGTCCTTTAAAGCCTTTCACAGCCTGGCTCCAGCCTACCTTTCCATGCTATTCTACCTTGATCCAGTTCTCCTCTTTCCTCTTCCTTCAGTCTCTACACAGGTTGTCCCCCATGCCTGAAGTGCCTGTCTTCTCATTTCTACCTCGCTGAGTCCCGTCACCTGCAAGCTGTCTGCTCCAGAGCCAGCACTTTAGGCCAGGGGTGGGGAACCTTCAGCCTCGAGGCTACATGTGGTTTGGTGTACGAATTGGAAGGATTCAGTCAAAGGGGCCTTGCTTGAGGACCTAGAGGGCCACAAGTGGCCTCAAGGCCTCGGGCTCCCCACCCCTACTTTAGGCCTTTCCTGATCCTCACAGCTATGAGTGCCTCTATCCCTCCAAAAATTATCTTTGATCTATTTTATAAATGTTATATTTATACAGAATACACATGTAGTGTCTCTTCCTTTCTCTGCCCCACATTAGAACCCTTGAGGACAGGGATTGTTTCATTGTCATCCTTGTATTCCCAGCAGTTAGCACAACCCTGCTTCTTGGTTGATTTATTGACTGCTCTTTGCTTCTCTCCCCTGCCTTCTCCGGCTGAATGGATGAAGCTAAAGAATATAATACACAACAAAATCTGAGCGAAGATTTTAAGCAAATTTGATCACAGTAACTTACTAGTATTCCTGTTAAGGTATAGAGGAGACTGTGAACCCCATACCAGTGAAATTGTAGCTCTTTGAAGTTCTGGAATAATCTTCATTTGGATTTTTTAAAAACAGTGTGTAATTTTAGTTTGAGAGCCAGAGGAGACACAATATATGATCTCATTGTATCCTAGGCAACCTGGAACAGCTTTTGTGGCTTTGAATACCAGTCAGAGTTCTAAACTGAAATTACAGCAATTACATGACAATCTTCCTTCAAAAGAAAAGAAAGGTGGAAGGGAAAAAAGGCTATTTGAAAGCAGTCCTTTGCAAAAAAAAAGGGGGGGGTAAAATGCCAAGAATAATCAAGTAGATGGCATGAAAATTTCAGCCAGAACTGTTGGTTCTACACAAAGAATTTGAAACTTTGCCTGTGCAATTTGCTTGGAAGTTTACATCAACAGCACTTAGATAAATTTGAGGGTCAGTGAATTGTAATCTCCTCAGGGCGGCTATACTCTTTCCACCAGTCTGGATTAAAACTTATCCCTACCTTCTCATCTTGTACTGTTCTTGTTCAAATCCTTCCATAAATCCTCTGTAGAAGATTTAACCAATGCTCAAATACGATGACAGGAGAGCAGGAACAAGATGATGGGGGGGGTGGCAGCTAGGTGGCACAGTGGATAGAGCACTGGCCCTGGAGTCAGGAGGACCTGAGTTCAAATCCAGTCTCAGACCAGACACTTGACACTTACTAGCTGTGTGACCCTGGGCAAGTCACTTAACCCCAATTGCCTCACCAAAAAAAAAAAAAAGATGATGATGATGAGATACTAGAGAGCTTCCCTCCCTCCAAATGAGGTCATGACAGACTGATATCACCTGCATGATGCTAGACAGGGCTGACTAGGTTAATTACATGTGTTTTCTCATTTCAGCTGGGTCCTCACTGCCATAAATCAATCATTTCGTTCTGTTGTATTTCCCACAGTGACTATTTCAGACCTCCCCTTCTTTCTTCAAGGCACAAACACAGTCACCTATTCCTTTCCCCTTCAAGAGATGACCTTGTCCTAGACTTTACTGAGAAAATAGATGTCGTTTTCTGTGAGCTCCCTCTTCTCCCCACTTCTGTTTCTCAGAACCCTGTGACATCATCTTCCATTTTCTCTTCCTTTAACCCCAGGCTTGATGAAGAGTAGTCCCTTGTTCCAAGGCTAACACTTCAATTGCAAATGTTGATAATAATACCACCTACCTCACAGGATTACCGAGACGATCAATTGAGATAATATTTCTGAAGCATTTAGCACAGTGCCTGACATACAGGCACTAAGTAAGTGCTTATTCCCTTTCCTCCCTTCCCTCTACTTGTACCCTTGTCCCTCCTGTCTCTCTAGCAGATTTCCCCTACAATCGTCCCCAATCCCCTACCTCTAATCTTCATTCTCTTGGTTGGCACTTTCACTGTTGCCTACTGTTCCAAGGTTTCTCTCATCCTGAAAAATTCCTCAAGCTATTGAATATGTGTCTTCTCTTTCTTTCTTTTTTGTGCCAGGCAGTGGGGTTAAGTGACTTGCCCAGGGTCTCACAGCTAATGAGTTTTTATATGTCTGAGGCCACATTTGAACTCAGGTCCTTCTGACTCCAGGGCCAGTGCTCTATCCACTGCACCACCTAGCTGCCCCCAATGTGCCTTCCCTTTCATAGCCAAACTCCTAGAAAAAGCTTTCTGTGCTCATTTCCTCTACTTACTGTCCTCTCACTTCTGATATCCTTATAATTTAGCATTCTTACTGATCTAAAACCACTCTTTTCCAATGTTACCAGTGATCTCTTAATTGATCATCACAAAACAAGGGCTTTTCTAGTCGTTGTCTTTCATATTCTTTCTCTAACATTTGACCCTGACTACTCTCCTTCCTTGGTTTTGGTGACACTACCTCTCTTTGAGTTTCCTTCTGCCTGCCTTGTCTAACCTCAGTTTCCCTTTCATGGATCATCATCCGTATCAGGCTCCCTAACTCTGGATGTTTCTCAAAGCTCTGTCCTGGGCCTCTTCTTTTCTCTCTACAGTTACTCTTGGTGAGGTTTTCAGCTCTAATCTGTTCAGTTGCCAGTTCTATACAAATATGAACTCCCCTGTTGTATGTTTAAAGCACTTCACAGTCTGGCTCCAACCCATTCCCCTTCATACACTCTACATTCCAGTCAAATTGGACTGTCCTTCCCTTGCAAAGTTCTATTTTCCCTCCTCATTTCTGCCTCTTAGAATCTCTCTCAAAGGGCATCTCCTTCATGATGCCTTTTCTGATCCCCTTCCCCAATTACATTCTATTTCTGCATGTGTTGTTTGTATTGTATATATATTTGTATTTCCTCACATGTGCACATCTTTCCCCCAGTAAAACAGAAGTTCCTTAAAGACAGGAACTGTTCATTTTTGCCATCCCTAGTCCTTGTCACGGTTCCTGGCACATAGCAGGTGCTTAATAAATAATGCAAAGAGAAGTGAGTATAACTATCAAACATTGTACAGCAATTGTAAAGAAAAACAACTTTGAAAGTCTTAAGAATTCTGATCAGCAGGGGCAGCTAGTTGGCGCAGTGGATAGAGCACTGGCCCTAAAGTCAGGAGGAGCTGAGTTCAAATGTGGCCTCAGACCAAGCTCTTGACACTTACTAGCTGTGTGATCCTGGGCAAGTCACTTAACCCCAATTGCCTTTAAAAAAAAAATTCTAAAAAAAAATTCTGATCAATAGAGGCATCAGCCATGCCTCCAGAGGACTTGTGATGAAACACATTCCCCTTCTTCTGAGAGAAAAGTGAACTCACTTCAGAAGGAAATACATTTTTGGAAATGGTCATTGTGTGGATTTGTTTTCCTTGACTGCGCTGATTTTTTTATGAGGATTTTTTTCTTTCAATTGTTTTTAATGGGAGGGAGAGATAAGAAGAACAAATAGTAATACCATAAAAAGAGGGCCATTGAAACAATCTTAACTCTATAAAAAACAATAGGAGATAAGCACAGATGAACAGAACAGTTGTGAAAGTACTGTGGAATTTAAAGGGTGGGTTTTTTTAAGCAAATGATATAAAATGAAGATTCTCAGTACAGTCCTATTATTGGTGTTTTGTTTTTAATGTGAAAATGTTATCTTTTGGGGAATTTAAGTTCTGGATAAAGGGAAAAGTTCACAGAAGAGAACAGGAGCAAATTTATTATTTTTTTAATTTTATTAATTTATTTTGCTATATCAACAATCACTTTCATATGCTTTTGAGTTGAAAATTTTTCTCCCCCCACCCTCCCTAAGATGGCACACACTCTGATATAGGCTTTACATTTACGTCCCATTAAACATATTTTGACATTAGTGAAGTTGTAATTAAAAATTAAAACCAATAGGAGGAACCATCAGAAAGATGAAACAAAACTCAACAGAAGGTAAAAATAAGTGACAGCGATTTGACTTCCATAGTTCTTTCTTTGGATGTAGACAGCGTTTTCCATCCTGAGGCCTCTGGAGATGTCTTAGGTCCTTGTAATGCTGAAAAGGGTTCAGTTTAATAATATTAGTCATTGCATAACGTGGCTGTTATTGTGTACAAAGTCTTCTTGGTTCTGCTCGCTTCACTCAGCATCAGACCATATAAGTCTTTCCAGGTTTTTCTGAAGTCAGCCTGTTCATCATTTCTTATAGCACAACGGTATTCCATTACATTCATATACCATAACTTACTCAGCCATTCCCCAGTTGATGGGCATCCTCTCCATTTCCAATTCTTTGCCACCACAAAAAGAGCTGCTATGAATATTTTTATACATGTGGGTCCTTTTCCCATTTGTTTGATCTCTTTGGGATATAGCCCTAGAAGTGCTATTGCTGGATCAAAGGGTATGCACATTTTTGTGGCCCTTTGGGCATAGTTCCAAATTGTTCTCCAAAATGGTTGGATCATTTCACAACTCCACCAACAATGTATTAGTGTTCCAGTTTTCCCACATCTTCTCCAGCATTTATCATTTTCGAACAGGAGCAAATTTAAAAGGAAACAGACAAGTAAGAAAGCTCTGAAAGTGGCATATTGAATTTATAGAGCTTTTTTAAAAAGGAAGATTGTATGATAGGTATTTGGGATTCATATGTCTATATTTTAAGAATGATCTTTTTTTGTGTTCTGTTGTGTGTAGGGAAATACTCATTTCTTTTTCTTTCTTCATGTTTAGTGAAAAAAACTTTTTTAGAGATCTACTGAAATATGCCAGTAGGCTGAGTTTGAGACTGGCTGACAGGGAAGAGCAAGGATGTTAAAGAGGAGGGGGTTCTGAAAGGAGCCTGCAGTGGGACCCAGCCCACCACACCAGAGCTTTTAAAGCTTTGCAGAATCTTTTCCCTTAGAGCACTTGCTGCTCACTCAGTCTCTCTGGATTAGAGAAACTTTTCAGAAATTACATCCAATGGTTTTGCCCCTTTGTAGCAGAGGCATTTGACATCTCCCTACAAAGAATTTGAAAGGGGCAGGAACCATGTAGAAAGGAAGATATAGGGAATTAATTTCCTCTGAGTGAAGTAAAACTTTTTTTTTTTTGGTGAGGCAGTCTGGGTTAAGTGACTTGTCCAGGGTTACACAGCTACTAAATGTCAAGTGTCTGTAGCCAAATTTGCACTTGGGTCTTCCTGACTCCAAGGCCAGAGCTCTATCCACTGTGCTACCTAGCTGGCCCTAAAGAAAAACTTTTTATTGAAAATGTAGAGTTAAGTATTTATGACCTCTTGTTTTTAGACATACTGTTCTTGATTTTATCCTTTGTCTTTAATTATAGTATGAAAGAAATGTAATTTTATACACTATGTTGAACCCAGCTGCCATCTCCTTGGTGACTGATGAAAGGAAAATTAAATTCTCATTAACAAAACTTCCACGTTAATCTTTAAATATTACATAAACTGTTTGTGGGTCACAGAAGGAGTTGTGTGTCAATTGTTTTCCTTCCCTTTATTACAGGTGGCATGTGAAAAGACGGTGTCAGCTATGCACCATGTTCTTCAGAGGACTATTGAAAGTGCTAAAGGTAGTCTCTTCTAGACTAACAATTTTCAGTTCTTTAAAGTTGTTTAATCTTGACTTCATGGAATGGTTCAAGCCAGTCCAAGGCTTCCATTTAGCCTTATCTACAATAATCAGTACAATATCTACCATAAGTCCCTGTATAAGTACTTCCCCCCAAGAACTCATAATATCCATGCCTTCCGTACACTCTCCCTGCTGAGGCAGCGCAACTGAGACCCAAACACAGGGTCTTCCATCCAAATCTGTCTGAGCAAGTGTGCTCCTTCCCTTAGTGGTCTCGCCCACCAAAACCCTCAGTAGAAGCTAGGCTGCCCCTATGGCCCTGTTGAGGGTCCCCTAGTATGTAGTAACCTGACTATTGGTACTTCTTCCTTTCCAAGTCACAATAACTCAGGCAGGTAGAACAGACTAGCCTCAAAAGCACCTTAGCTCTCACCCTAAGAGGACTATTAGGGAAATATTAAATGATTCCTTAATAGGTATTGCTGCCAATCATACTTATCAATATGTAGAGACATTTGAAAACCAGATTTTATTATGCTTAGAGCACAGAGTCAGAGTTCTTGATTAATTCTTGAGTATTAGACAAAGTTTTTCCTAAGGCTTGTGTAGTTTCAAGTTACCTCAGAGGAAAAAAAAAGATACAATTAGGATTTACAGTTGCCTTCCCCCCCCCAAAAAAAGGTAAAGATTTACATTTCAAGGATAAACTTGTAAAATTTATAGCAGGTTAATGGAGAGGAATGAGATATATCAATAGATAACTGAAGAAGAAAAATAATAGCAGACCAAGTTGTAAAATTAACTGATAGGGGTTATTTATTACCACCAGCGGCCTATTATAAAAATTCCTTTTATCCCTATCTAGTTTCAAGATTTTTACCTTGGCAGTATTGTTCACCTAATAAGGCAACGAGCACATTGCTTTCTGCCATCTTTCCCGGTTTTGCAGACAACAAAACACAATTGCCTAAATTGTCACAGGGGCTGCCCAATTTCCCACTTTTCCAAGTACGTTTTCCCAGGCCTGTGTGGTGATGGTCAAAAAAAAAAAAAGAAAAGGCCTATCCCCAAAGTATGAAGCCATTAAGATGGGCAGGCCATAGGGAAGGGGTAGAGTGCTCCTGAAGTGGGGACAGGAATCCAGTCCCCCAAGCCTATCTCTTTACTATTCCTGATGGAGACCTACTGTAGAGAAAATGTATATTTATCAGGCCAAGGATACAGAACTTCTCATTTTAGCTACCTTTTTAAAAAAAAAAGGCACAAAAGGGGTGGTTTAGCTGACTTTATTCCATCTGTTCTGCACTGATCCTGACTCTGGCCAGTCCCCTGGTAGTTTAGGTTTGATATTGGAACAAAATGAGTTACTAGACTTAAGCAGTTAAAGGAAGATTTACTTAGTCGTATCCAAAAAAAAAAAGGTTATTCAACAAGGATAGACATTGAGGACATTTTGAATTTCTTCAGCTGAGTGAAGCTCCCTCATCTTAATTTTTACCCGTCATGAGCCACCATTGCCACTTAGGCAGTGAGGAAATGACATGAGCAGTCCGAGGCCTTAGTCCCCTGAACCAAACAAGGCTGGTGGAATGAATCAGTACCTTTTAAGGTACTGACAAAAACTAGCCTAACCTATGTGAGAGCAGGGATTTAAACATGGTTCCCTATCACACTTTTCAAGCTGATTCAAGTCTGAAACTGACAAAAACTGAACAGCCCCAATTAGACCACACCCTCGTTCAGCATTATTCTAATGATTCCTTACCTAGCTGTATCAATTTCCCCTCTGACTGCTAAGTTCTAAGGTGGTAAAAGCCTGTCCATCCTTTTGACTTCCCTCAAGAAAGTCACTGCCTAAGAAACAGTAGAAGTAATGAGACAAACCCAAGGCTTTCTTACTTACATCTCTGTAAGGGGGCAGATCTGTTCTGCCGTAATTATGCCAATTGTAGGTTAGCATGGCCTCCAAGAGAATATTGAGATACCAAAGAAAGAAGGGCCCGTGCCAGCTTGGTTATTAATTTTTTTAAAAGTGCCAGCTTGGTTATTAATAGGTTTTATTAGGGTTAATTGGGTTAATTTGGGAGCTTACTCACTAGGGGTCAGTTGTCCTGGATGGCAGCAGGACAAAGTAAAATGGATCCCCTTGCCAGCCTCAGAGCAGGCCAGGTATTATATAGAAAAGGAACAAAGAAGGCATAATGCCAGGGATGGCTCAGGGTTGTGTTCAAGTTCTCCCATCAGATAGTTGGAGCTTCTTTTCCTGTTTACTTTTATGCAAGGTAGTTTACATTCACGATGTGGAGTCATACAAGCTCTGGCTACCACCATACAGGCTCCAATTCCCAATTTCTGTTATTCGCTGCTGTTCTTATTCTCTTCTTACAATCATAACCATGCTAAGCTTTAACATATTTGGAAAGGAAACCTCTTAAGTCAGGGCTGTTCACCATTTGTAGCCTTTTCAGTCTCCACTCCAGTTAGCATTGTCTTTTTCCCTTGTGCTGTTACTAGATCAATAAGCTGCTTCTCTGTCTTCTTGAAGACAGATTCTTAAAGATCAAAAGCTCATTCACCTTTGCCTCTTAGGCTGAATATTCAAGGGCCATTTTTTCTTCATTATCCCCGTTGGTAAGCTGGCTTTTCTAAAACTGTTAATGAGATCCAAGGACACTTAAATTTGCCATTTTCCTATTTTCCTCATCAAACTCTTCAAGCATTCATCATACCCATTATCCAGTGTGATAAATGGGAGCTTCCTCTTTATCCCAGTAACAAGGCTTCCCATCTCATCTGCCCCTAATAACACAACATACCTGGGTTCTGTCTCTGGCCATCCAGTCACCAAAGCTCTCTTTCTTTCACACCACCCACCCTTCCCTACTTTAGCAATTAATTTAATCTTGTAGTCTTTGCAAACAATCCCTGCCAGCCATGCCAAATATCTTGGCTGAGGCCAGTCCAGAGAGTAAGGCTATGAATTAGAAGACAGGGAGGCATCTAGGGATCATAAGATGCAATAAAAACAAATTTGTAAATAAATTCAGGTAATATGTAACTCCCCAGAGTCCTCATGTTCACCGCAGCAGTTGGCAACATTTAGTCAAGAAATCATCCCTGTGTAACAGTTAAAATTAAGGTAGACTGAGGCACAAAGTTCTGAGCATGACAGATTAGTAAAATGCACATATACCAATAAATAGGGTCTCAGCTTCCTCAGCAAAGCTAACACCCCAAATGAGGGGGATAGCTATCTTTTATAGTTTGGGGAAGTACAGAAAATAGGAAGACTAGCTTTGTAGATGGAAGAAAAGATATGATTGGATGGAGATTGGGAATAAGGGCTATCAACCACCCCTTTCTTCCCTCCTATGACTAAGAACTGTTCATTATATGAATCTAGACTTCTTTGGGTAATAAACCAGACATGCTTGAAGGATAGCTTGATGGTGTAAAAATGTTAGACCAGACACCCTGATGTCCACCTGCCTCCTTCAAGGGCAACAGATTTCCTAGCCAAAGAGTAGGACAGTCATTAACAAGAGAACTGGATTTCTAAACTTATCTCATTTACAGGCCAGCTGAATTTTTGAACTAAGTTCAGAGACAAAGAACCATGACTTAGGCAGTTGCAGGACAAAGTCAATTAACTGTAAGTAGGATCAATTGAAAAAAAAAGAATCAATCTGATTATCTCACTGAAATATATTGGAAATTCTGCTGAAACCTCCAGGCTACCATTTCTACATTGACTGGGCTTTTTATGCCTGTAGAGAATGAGAAAGCCAAACCAGTCATTCAAACCCTAATTTCCCTTGCTAATCAGATCCTAAGAATCTCTTCCTACCCCTTTTAGAGGGGAAATTATCATCTACATAAAACAGTTGCCCCTTTCTCCACCCTAGCCTTTAGTATAATAGTAACCTGACTATTGGCAGCTTTCCCCTTCTCAGTGAGGCAGAGGTTTCCTTCCTTCCTAATGGAAGCAATAAGAAACTGTTTTTCTTCGCTGCTTCGTTTCCTTTCAGTTGACATTCTGATTTATTCTTTCAGTGCAAGCTGGAAAAGGGAAGAAGCCTAGTCCAGCCCAACTGGAACTGAGAATGGTCCAAAGCAAAATGGATATAGAGAATCCAGAGATCATAGTGGAAGCCACTGTGTTATAAAGAATGTGAATACATCACCCAATAACGCACAATGTATTGATGTCTTTGTTTCCCTTCCTGTAAAAAATGTAATGTCTGCCTGAGAGATGTGACTTAAACTTGATATTTTTTCTCTCTCAAAATAGTGTCAAGTATCAGCAGATCTCTTGTTGTCAAAATATGTGATGGCTATGTTTGGATTTTATTTCCTTGTTCAGAGAAGGAGAGGCCTCTCCCCTCAATTTATCCACTCTGTATACTGCCCTGGACAATATCACAAGGATGTCTCTTTCAAAATCCTCAGCATCCAGATTTGTTCATGGAATTAGTCTGGAGGGTGAGTACTGGGAGATTGGAACTCCTTGGGCAAAGGAAGGTAGCATATGCAATGTTATCAATTAGTCATTTGCAATGCCAGTGGAGTTGACTACCTACTGTTTCTTGACCTGAACAACTTAAGGTCCTTGGATACATTCAGTTTTTTAAAATTCTAGTAATACATTTTTTTTTCCTTTCACAACTTGTCTTGGTCTTCACAGAAGCCAAAGCATTGGGGTGGCAGTTTTGTACTTCTCTAATAACTGCCTCTTATCCTTTCCTTTGTTTCTGCCCTAAGAATGAAAGCGAATCTTTCTTCTCTGAAATTTCTGGTGACCACAGATAATTTTCCAAGACTAAAAGAAAAGAAGCCAGCTAACTGTTAGGCCAGGGCCCATTAAGTAGCTGCCCACCCACAATTACAGTTCCCTTGCTGATGCCACATTTGGTGGTTTCTTTGTCAATACATAGAAGCAAATCCTCTTTATTTAAGGAAGAGAGAATTTGTAGTATTTGGACTTGTTAATCATGAGCATCTTTATCAGGAACCCAATGATCTAAGAACACTAGGATGGGGGACATAGGGCACTGAAGGGCATAACAAGGAACACAAAGTTTTTTCCCCCTGGAAAACTAGTTTTTCTTAGTTAACTTATATGAACATTTCATAGTATGGTGTCAAACACTCTATAATTACATAGCACTACTGCCAGATAATCACTAGTGTTTGTTCTACTTTCCACATTCCTATCAAAAGAACTCAAAGCCAGGAGGCCGTAAGGCCAGCTCTCATATCTTCCCTTAGGCAGAGGGTCTCTTCTCAAAGCCAGCAACAGAACTTCTGCAGCTTGGTCCTCCCTTGGACCGACGTCACTGCTGGCTCCAGAAAAGCCATCCACAGATCTCCTTCCTTCTTGGTTGAGGTCGTAGCTAGGAACTTACTGGAGAGTAGCTCGGCCCTCCCTAATCCTTTCACTTGAGAAGGATGATTGCTCTCATTGTCTTGCCTAGGTTTAGAAGGTAGTATTAGAGTTATAGTGAGTAGGATAACTAGGTGAATTATTTATTCTGAACACCTTTGACGTGTCCTACCTGCTTAGCTTTTCACTACCTACTCCCCTCTCCATTTGTCTGTGGAGTGATCTTTGTAGAATTTATTGGCTGATTCTTATCACTTGACTTCTGGAGAAGCCCTCTAGTCTACAATGAAGTAAAGACTTGAAGCCTAGCTAGTGTCAGCACCATATCTGGGTATATTGTAATGAGTGATGTTTTGGGATATGGTTGTTGGTGAAAGGAGAACCAAATGTTTTCTCTTCACATCACCTCCCCTCCCACAAATAAAAATAACGTTTAAGTTGTGTTAGCAAAGCAGAGCTCAGTAACTGTGGTTATCAAACTATATTTTTAATCTTTTGTCTTCCAGAAATGAAAATTTATTAACTTTTTTCTTACAATAAAATAAATAGTAATTTTTGCTCTCTGTTAAGTTAGCTATACTATTTCACTTTATAATTTTATGTTTATTTTTTAAAAATCTATACGTTCTTTAATGGTTCAATCTGCTGATGAATGTCAGTTAGACATAAACAATTGTAGATCGTTTCTGTGTGGTTTAACTCCTCTTGGCCAATGAAGTCACTAATATCACTTCCTGCATCATGTTGACAGTTCAGTTTTTTTACATCAAGTCCACAGATATATAGGTAATAAATAGTGCTTCTTGAGACTTAGAATGTTTTGTCAAATCAGAGCTAAAGAGCTGTGGAAGAGACCTGGTTGATGTTACTTCAAAGTGAAAAGATTGCAACATTCTGACATAGAACACCCCCCCTCCAAGAAATTAGAACACAAGGTGCAGAGTCTAAAATCAGTGTAAATTTGGGGCTTTACAAAGTGTTAGTATACAAAGTTGTTACCAAATTTGAATCAAAGCAAGATAGCAATGTATCAGAAAATCCAAGGCATTGTTTTTAAGCTTAGAGGCTGTATGCACTTTGGGGCAGGAGAAAGGAGAATATAGAAATACAAAACTGAAAATGCAATGAATATGTTAAAATTTGAAGGGGTGGGAATATATCCTTGATCTGTGATTTGAAATTATGGTATATACCGCTTTAACTTAAAAAAAAATGCACATTTTGGTTTGACAAACACTAATTTTAAAATTGTTTTAAATATTATTTAAATGGTAAAATTGAGTATTGCATTAGGTTTTACTTATCTAGTATCTTGTCTCAGAACAACCAGAAACATTTTACTACTAAGGGCCTCCTGTAAATTCTTCTGGCTTTGTGAAATAATCTGAAATGCTATCACTTTATGATTCATTTGTCCTTGGAAGCATGACCTTAAAGAGTTTTCAAGGGCAAGGACTTTGTGCCAAAAGTAGTCCCTATGCCATATACATATACGTATATACATACATATACATATATGGTTTTTTAATTCTAAATATACATACACACACATACACACACACACACACATATATATATATATATATACATATATATATATACACTTTAAAAGTACAGTTTGATAGCAGAGATCTGTGTGTTAACATGAGATCATTACATAGAAATCATTTTAGTTCCATAAGAAAATAAGTTTCTGTTATTTTATCTTCATCACTTCATTTATTATCCCTACTTATTTTAAAGGAAATTTATTTTTCATCATGAATACAATAAAAATCACAAAGTGATATTTACATCATTTATGTGCGGAGCACATCCCCAATCAACCTTTAATATGAGGAAAGGTGGCAGTTGTAGTTTCAAATTCAAAGATCTATCGGTGGAAATATAAATATCTCTGGTATGACTTAATAGTAATGTGAGAAAGTCTCAGATTTGTACTTGCAAAGAGATCTAATAAGCAATCACAAGCTGTGGGAGATTTGTTGGAACAGAATTACTTATTAATATTAGAGCATCTGAATTGTTTCTCAGTGCATTGTAAACTTTAAAGTGTTATGTAAAGGTCAGCTATTATTGATTACATTTTTAAATCCTTTCTCTGTTAAGATGTTACTAAAGTGTGGCTTTATAGAAGGATGTAAAACTATGGTCCATTTTTATTAGCTTGTTTTAATTCATTATCTGGTACTACTCTGGTGATTGTAATGGTCTAATTTAATTTGCAGTTTATGTCACTAGATTTTTATAAAATGATTGTTTATTATACTACTCATAACAAAATTGTTAGAGCCTATTTTTAAATACATTGTTGGCAGTTTCAGCAGACTAAACCAGTATTGGTTTAATTGCACCGATACATGAATCAGTTTTAATTAAGGTTCTCTTAGTGTTTGGGTGAAATAGGCAAAGGGAAAGCCTGCATTGTGATTCCTGAAGTGCCCTGATGTAAAATAATAATAATTATTAATAGCACATGATTATAATAAATATATATATTTATTTGTGTGTTTAGGTTTGTTTTATGAGATTTATTATTTAAAGAAAAATTTCGCCTAGAATGAAGTCATTTGATGCTCTTGACTAAAGAAGTTGATTGCAAGTTTCTGGGCTGGTGATCAGAAAGTTTTTTGGGGTTTTTTTTGTTTGTTTGTTTGTTTTGGTTTTTTTTTTTATTTTTAATAGAATAGGACCTCAGACTGCATCTGTATTTTGATTTTTTTTTTAACCTCAGAAAACTTAAATTGAATGTTAGGTCAGATACAAAGAATGTAAAACAAGAGAGTTTTATCCATTTGGAATTGTACAAGCCACCCTAACTGAAGTAGCATGCATGTTTTGTTCACATTTTGTCCAGCAATCAGAGCAGTCCTCATGTAGTGAGTATGTTCTCGGTCGTTCTGTTAGAGCCTGGCTGTCTATATCTCCCCCTCAGGAGAGAGATTTGGGGTTTCTCTCCTCCAGTGCCATCAACTTAAGTCCCTTTTGGCTGTTTTCTCCCCACTGTTAGTTGCCAGTGAGTATCGTCCCAATTCTGTTTAACCACTTAACATAGTTAGCTTTTACAAAGGGATATTTACTTTAAGGGCAGTTCAGTCTATGATACAGTGCTCGGCCTGGAGTCAGGAGGACCTGAGTTCAAATCTAGCTTCAAACACTTACTAGCTGTTTTACCCTGGGCAGGTCACTTGCCTCAGTTTCCTTATCTGTAAAATGAGCTGGAGAAGGAAATGGCAAACCACTCTGGTATCTCTGCCAAGAAAACCCCAAGTGGGGTCCCAAAGAATCAGACACAACTAAACCACTACGACAACAAATTTACTTCAAACATTTACCGGTAACAAAAATACAAACATTTCTCCCAACAACCTGGGGGGTATACTCTCCTCTATCCCATCCCAATCTCTGGAGACAGTGGGCTCACTCTTAGCTCATTTCCTACACGGCACTGTTCCCCTCACGTTCACATTAAAAGGCAGCGTCACTGTGTGATGAGTCCTTGGCCCAGCTGCTGCTGGTTTGAATCCCAAAGTTCATTTCTGAAGATTTCTCCTTATTCTTTCTGACATTGATGCTGAACTGTATGCAAAATCCAGATACTAGTATGACTAAACACATTCCACATAAATCCCAGCAAATATCTACAAAGAATCTGAGAAATATCAACAATAAAGACAACTAAAAAGAAATGGAATTGAGTTCTTATAGGTTAGAACTGTGCGATAATATTTTCAGAAGTGGCAAAGACAGATGGTAAGCCAGAGCCAACTCAAGTAAACGTGGAAACCAGAAATGGCAGGGAGATGGCTTGTGCTAAGGTATCCAACATGAATTCTAGTAAACCAGATTAAAACCAGCAGAGGTGAGGAGAAGAGCCTTGCCAACGAAGCTATTGTGAGTGTAGGCAAACAGGCTATGAGGTGAGGAGAGAAGCTGTTCCAGGAAAACAGACTGGAAGCCAGCCAGGAATCAGAATCCAAGCCAAGGTGAACTCCACTATTCAGGTACCTGAAGTCAGATCTTGACCCTTTCCTGTCAGGACAGAAGCAGAGACAGAATCAGCCACAATATATGGTTACCAAGGAGACTGGGTGCAGCCTGAGAGAAGATTGTCCTGAGCGCAAAGTCCCTAATCAAGAACTGAGGCTAAAAATGTGAAGTAAAGAGAAGAAGAAAAAAATAAAATGAAGAAATACGGTGAGGGACAGCTAGGTGGCACAGTGGACAGAGCACCAGCGCTGGAGTCAGGAGGATCTGAGTTCAAATCTGGCCTCAGTCACATGATACTCACTAGCTGTGTGACCCTGGGCAAGTCACTTAAGCCCAATTGCCTCCCCCCCAAAAAAAAGAAGAAAAAAAACCACTGTGAGTTGAGAAGCCCAAGAGAATAGAGTAATTCCAAAATAACTAGAAATGAGGGTTGGGGGGAAAATAGATTGAAATATAAGGTGGAAAACTTTACCTGAAACAAAAAGACTAGAGGTCATTGGTAACTTTGGAGGGATCAGTTTCACTTGAATGAAGTTGAAGGCTTGACTTCTGAGAGTTAAGAAGAGAGCATGAGAGAGGTTAATGCAGGGTAAAATGGATGATTTTGATTACATAAAGTTGAAAAGGTTTTGCACAAACACAACCAATGTAGCCAAAATTAGAAGTGAAGCAAGAAACTGGGTGGAGCTGGGTGAGGGGTAGATCTTGGCAGCAAGTTTCCCTGATAAAGATTACGTCTCATGGGAATTGAGCCCATTTATAAATCCCCAGCTGATAAATGGTTGAAGGATATAAATAGGAAGTTTCTGAAGAAGAAATCAAAGTAATCAATAGTCATGAAAAAATGATCTAAATCACCAATAATTAAAGAAATTCAAATTAAAACAACTGAGGTACTACCTCACACCCATCAGATTGGCTAAGATGACAGAAAAGGAAAATGATAAATGAGGGAGGGGATGTGGGAAAATAGGTACATTAATGTACTGTTTGTGGAACTGTGAGCTACTCCAACCATTCTGGAGAGGGATTTGGAACCATGTCCAGAAAATTTAGCCTATTTATATTTTTAGCATATTTATATCACCTTTTTGTGGTGGCAAAGAATTGGAAACTGAAGGGATGGCCATCATGGGGAATGGCTAAACAAGTAACTCCCTAGGACTTAAATCCCAGCAAATATCTGTAAAGAATCTGAGAGGAGGGGAGGGGGCAGAGTCAATCCCAGTGCAGGCCCCAGCATAGGATGCCATGACCTACCAAAGGTCTAGGCACAAGGGAGGGCATCTTCTGTGTTCGCTCAGGTTTCTGACCACTTTGCCAGCAAGATCAGCAAGGAAGCTAAATTGTGCTTTATTGAATCAATATTGTACCCTTTCCATGCTATGACTAAGTAGCCTACAAGTGTCTCATTTTGTTCTGAACCTGAACCACTACACCTACCTGAATCAGACCTGGCCAACACCTAGTCAACACTCTTCCATAATGTTATATACCTCTATTAGAACGTAATCTCCTTGACTTTTTAATTTATATTCCCAATAGTAGTTGTTTAATAAATGCTTTAAATTGATTTGCAGCTAGAATAATCATTTTTAATTTCATCTTACTAAAATCCTATACTTATATATTTAAAAAAATCCAACCTAGAAAATAGTTCATGTGAAACATTTCTAGCAAATACCAGTGAGATCCAACCCCCTTTGCTCACTGGTAGCAAGACCCTGCTCCTGAAGCCAGCCAGCAGCAAGATCCCACCCCTGGGGAGGCCAGCAGGAAGGCCCTACCCCCAGTACAAACCAGTAGGGAAGCCCTCATCAGTGTAAGCCCCTGGGCAGTTAGGCTCTGAGTCCCAGTGAAAGCCAGTAGCAAAGCCACAAGCCCAGAAACAAGAAGCTTAGAACAGTGCAGGAGCAGAGCCTAACTCTTACATAAAAGCACAAAGTCACAAAATAGGCAGAAAAAGTGAACAAAAAACAACAACCAAAAAAAAAGTTGACTATAGAAAGTTACTATAACTTGGCTTTGCTCAGTAGTGTAAGGATCTAAGACAACTCCAAAAGACTCATGATGGCAAAAGCTATCCACATCTAGAGAAAGAACTGTGGAGTCTGAATGCAGATGGAAGCATACTATTTGCTCGCCTTTTCTTTTGTTGTCTTGTTTTGATTCTTCTTTGTCATGGTTCCTTCCATTGGTTCTAATTCTTCTTTATACCATGAATAATGTGAAAATATGCTTAATATGAATGTATAAGTAGAGCCTATCTCAGATTGCATGCCATCTTGGGGAGGGAAAGGAAAGGGAGGGGGAGAAAATTTGAAACTCAAAATCTTATGGAAGTGAATGTTGAAAACTAAAAATAAATTGTTTAATTAAAAAAAAAGTTACCATAGTGACAGGGAGGATCAAGGCACAAACTTAGAGGAGAACAACAGTGTCAAAATAGCTACATGCAAAGCCTCAAAGAAAAATGTAAATTGGTCTCTGGCTCAAAAAGAACTCCTAGAAGAACTTAAAAAGCAAATAAGAAAAGTAAAAGAAAAATTGCTCATGGGGAGCCTGAGCCAATATAATAAAAATGACAGTTCTACCTAAATTAATCTCATTCAGTGCCATACCAATAAATCTACCAAAAATTAAATTCATCTGAAAGAAGTTAAGAATATCAAGGAAATCAATGAAAAAATGTGAAGGAAGTTGGCCAGATCTCAAATTGTACTATAAAGTGG